TTATGCTTACTGGCAAAATTAGCTCCAAATTTGAAATACGATCTAGTTCGGTCACTGATGAAACTGTTATCTGCTTTTTGTTCATTTGTGTTAAACTTGTATTTAACCAAAATGTATGATTTGACCAATTGATAATAATCAGTATAAATAATGCTCAAAATGATAAGTTCAAATTCCCATGGCGTCAATACCAAACAAAAATAATACGGTTTCTGTATCGATTATTAAGAATATATAATACGATTACAATCCATATCCAAATACTAGATATATTATTCGTAGTAAATATTGAAAAAGTAAAGATTATGAAGACTAAATATTAGACTTTGTCTAATTGTCTTACTCCGTTTGTAATGTTCCGATTCTTCTATAAAAACCCGACTTCATTAGCTTAATTTGTGCAAACAAAAATAAAGAAGAGGTCCAATTGGAGTGTCTTTTTTTACTTCTCTCCTCTATATAGAAGCTGAACTAACCTATCGAAATTATTCTTGCTTAGAGAAGATTCTCCGGTCAAATTTTTCACATATGCTTTACTGCCCATACATTGGACACTCAGTTCCATGTTGTTTTTAAATAATTCCTATATGGCAACATTGGCAATGTGTAGGCTTTGGAGAAGTTTCCTGGTCGACCACTGAGCTTTCTTGTATTCTTTAACAAACAACTCCAATGCTGTCCAGTCGTGGCAACTATGGCGTGTCAAACATTTGACACGTCATAGGCAGCATGTGAATTTTATGATGTATTTCTTTTTGTAAAGGTCTTAAACGAATATTTTACAATAGTGACATTGGTAAATTGTTTGTTACCTTTTCTTTTATTTTGTTTTGACAAACACATTCTGACAAATTTTATCACTTGCATCAAATGACCAAAGAAAATAAAGAAAATTTTAAAAACGGAACAACTACCGAAAAATGATGAGTGTTTACATGCACGCACCATAGCTTAAAGAAATTGCATTTCAAAATGATACCACTGTAATGGAACAGCGAATAATCTGATGAATAAGTGTATAACTGGACTACCTGGTAGCCATGCTTTTACATTGTACCTTACGTCAATGGAATGGTTTGTAAGAATAAACCACATATTTTAATATTAAACAATAACGGTTTGACAATAGCCGCTCATGAGACTAACGCTCAATAGAAAAATAGTTTGTTTCACAAGTTTGAACAATTAGCATTGCTGTGCTATGTTGCCACGAAGCGTTACCACCGACTAAAGTATCTGAGCCCCCGGCTTGTTGACAGTGGGATGGTCCCATGGTGACACTATTCCATGTACAGGTAATTTCATGGGCCACTTTTGCGTGACAAGGTAATATACCTCTTATCACTTTATCATTTTCCTCTTATGAAATATTTAAATGCAATTCCTTGTAGGCTTCATTCCCCTTGTTTATACCCGAAAAGGTCCTGTTTCAGTAACTGCTAGTGTGTCGAATTTGGATCCGATACTCAGCATCCCTGCTCCAGCGCTTTCAATATGCCCAAAATATGAATAATTCACGGCCATAATTTCTCCTGTCTACCCGTGCCTATCTTGTCCATTGTTGTGCATTTTTAAAGTCACGGTGAGGCGGTTTGTTATTGACGTGTAGCTAGTTATCAAAATCCCATTAAGGGGTGGCACAATGTTGCTGTGGTTGTACTGGAATATATATCCTAGGGCAACTCTAAAGAGTCTGAGTATGTTACCGGAACAGCCTGTCCTCAGGGAGGGAGGTTTATTACTGGTACTGTCCCGGGGGAGGGGGGACGTCCATTGTGCTCGCGACCAGTTTTGTCCACGATTATTGCACCGCGAAATGGCCTTGTGTAAGAATGGATGATATAATGTTCGCAATTTGCATGCACAATCGCACGGTTATCTGTCTGTCGGAATCACGATGGTCCTGTCGGCCATTGTCACGTTTCAACTTACATGCCATCCGAGTAACCGATATCGCTAAACGCTGTGTAAAAACAGATTGTCAACATCCCCGTGCTACCAGGTCCGACCACTGACAATCAGCCATCACGCCACACTGTCACACTATTGTATTACTATCAATGTAGCATCAGCCTATCAACAATGGAAACAGACTTGTTGTTCTTTTTTGTGTATTGATGTACACAACTCGGTTAAAAGGGTATGCTGCGTATTTGTGCTATCACATATAGAGGAGAAACAGATACACAGATATAACTATTTCATATTCTGTTGTATCTGATCAGTTGTTAAAAAACCCTTCAAGAATTGATAAACAAGGTATTGTTAACAGATATCACCTTTTTATAGTATGTGGTATCTGTTAAGTTGAAATAAATTTATCTTACCAACAACTGATAAACAAGGTCTTGTTAGATGTTACAATAAGCGTGTAAGCATCACCTACTGTTTCAGTTGATACTATAAGTGATTGTGATGAAAGTTGTAACGAATTAACAATCCAATCGGTAATGAGTTGCTTTTTTATATTCTGTAAGAGATAAGGGTGTATAGTTCGAAATAATTGGCTCAGTTTTGTATCATTAATGATCTGTGTAATCAATAGGCTATGTTTGGTTTGTGGATAGTTCAACCCCCACAGTTCATAATTCATTTATTTGCTAGAACCCATCCATGCATCTCTTATTATCTGAATCATTGCACTTATACAAATAAATGTAGTCCGCGCAACTCGTTGTCATATTTCGTCTTAAGGTCGACACATTTCATGTAAACGAAAGTGACAAGTTTAACAATTATTTATGTTCTACCAATTAATGATATAGAAACTCGTTTTAGTTACATGTAATCAAGAATAGTTATGTGATTTATCATTATTATATATGCTGTGAAATCTAGATAATCCATTATCGGCTCAATATCTTTGATAATATTAGAGGTATCTAAAGAATTCAAAGCACATTTCTGTCCGTAAGACTGATTATAGTTTACATGTTTATGGTTAACATTTAGTCATGGAATCTTTTTCAAACTATCAATGACTTCTCCTAAATATTTGTCCGAAATTCTAGCTGGGCAGGTCCTTTTCAGAGTTGTTATGGACTAACGCCTTTGTTTCCAATAACAATACCTTAAAGCTATATGTTTTATGTGGTAAAAAACAAATATGAAGAGCTGAAACATAGTAGCAGACGAATGAGAAACATTTGTTTATAAGCATGCTATTTTACATACTAGGCGCCAACCTACGAACTTCAAACGAATATTGACATGCTCCGGAAATATCCAAACGTTACAGCAATGTGTGGTACATGTCCAATGAGCATCGAATGTAATACGTTTTTATCTTTAAGAATTGACTGTGAATGCAAATATGAATTGTAAATAAAAAAACACCATCATTTATGCAGTAATGTGTTCTAAATGTGATTTCAATAGTTTTCTACGTTTGACTAAAACAATCATGATTACATATTTTCCTAGAGAATCAATTATCTGTCTTATTCTACCAAGTCAGATATTTCATATCTTCATAACGTTGTCTATAACTGTTATGATAACGGCAACACAAAAAAGTGTTATTTATTTCAGTTTTTGAATAAACCTGTTTCTGCAATCTGTGAATCTGAAAATTAATTAAACCTGAGAAGATAAATTACATTCCTTGGGATAAGGCAAATTATATAAAAAAGAATGAGCTACCAGATTTTAATTAGATAGGAACCACTTGAATTGTAAACGCGGCCAATACGTGTCGTTTAAACTGTCGTGACCTTGTCTTGTTATGTGCAATACAAGTAGGATGACAAAGATGGACTCTGTTTTTATGTGTTTTCATTCATCCCGATGGGTTTATCACAAATATCTCGTGTGACTTTTTCATCACTGTCCAATATATCATGTGCAGAAGAAACACACAAGTACGTGCACTGCATTCCTGACGATAGATGACAGACCTTCTTCAAAGACCCCAGTTGTAAGGCCTTCATTTGCGGTTGTTAGAGATGTCATGATAAAGGAGAAATAATATAAATTGTAGTGTTCAAATTTGTGTTATATTCAGATTTTGTCTCATGATATGTTTAGTACATGTATAACAACAATTACACAAGTAACGTCATGTAATTAATTCTAGTGACCGTATGTCGCGGAGTCTATCTATCTTAATTTCCAGATTTTATATTTTTTCCCTAGAATAGTAAGATGTACTAAGCTGCTTGCATATTTTATTATAACTTGAAAATATTAATTAATTCATGCATGCGTGAAATAAAAATGTAAGCCATGAAGATAACACCTACAAAGATAAGGGATGTGTCATGATCATGATCAACACCTATGAATACCGCTTTCATTTTGCGTGCGTCAATTCTAGTTTCATAAATCTGACGTAGATTTACCTTGGTGCCAGACTACATCACAATAAACCTCGCTTCGACAATGATCATGCAAGAACATGAAAGTAGATTTTGTATTTTATGAGCATAAACGGCAATAAATAGTCATGGGAAGGACGAATATCTGTTTGGACATGGTCTTTTGATCAATAAATGATTGGTATTATTTCTATGAAATATGTGTTTAACCCATATATGGCCATTCATACAGACGAACACGGGTATCCCTGCTGACCAGGGTCAGTGAGTGAATCTACAGCATATATTCATGTTGTGTAGTCAGATTTCATCATGAATGCTTCTTCTGATTAACCACACAACTTAGATCAGTTTTCTTATACTGTAAGGTAAAATAGAGCAGAAGCTCGATAGTAATGGTCAATACATAAGGACAAATTACAAAATCTTTCATTTCATATTTTATTTTTTGTGCAATTATCTTGTTACAAAATGTTTAAATTATGTAATATTTATCTTACCTGAAAGCTTTCAATCCCGACCTAAGTTCTGAATATATTAGCAAACCATTAAGAAACATTTATATATTTATTTTCAAAATAAACAATTTTATATTCAAATACTACATCGGAGATCAATGTGAAGTTCATGATATGGTAAATGAAACAAACTTGATATCCAAACTAACAAACTAACTAACTAACTATGAAAAATCAGTATGACAATAGTCACCTCGCTACCAACCTTCAGTATGACAATTGTCACCTCGCTAACAACCTACAATATGACAATAGTCACCTCGCTACCAACCTTCAGTATGACAATTGTTACCTCGCTACCAACCTACAGTATGACAATAGTCACCTCACTACCAACCTACATTATGACAATTTTCATCTCGCTACCAACCTACAGCTTGACAAAAGTCACCTCGCTACCAACCTTCAGCATGACAATAGTTACCTCGCTACCAACCTACAGTATGACAATAGTCAACTCGCTACCAACCATCAGCATGACAATAGTCACCTCGCTACCAACCTACAGTATGACAATAGTTACCTCGCTACCAACCTACATTATGACAAGTGTCACCTCGCTACCAACCTACAGTATGGCAATAGTCACCTGGCTACCAACATTCAGCATGACAATAGTTACCTCGCTACCAACCTACAGTATGACAATTGCCACCTCGCTACCAACCTACAGTATGACAATAGTCACCTCGCTACCAACCTATAGTATGACAATTGTCACCTCGCTACCAACCTACAGTATGACAAGTGTCACCTCGCTACCAACCTACAGTATGGCAATAGTCACCTGGCTACTAACCTTCAGCATGACAATAGTTACCTCGCTACCAACCTACAGTATGACAATAGTCACCTCGCTACCAACCTACAGAATGACAATAATTACCTCACTACCAACCTACAGTATGACAATAGTCACCTCGCTACCAACCTACAGTATGACAATAATTACCTCACTACCAACCTACAGTATGACAAGTGTCACCTCGCTACCAACCTACAGTATGACAATAGTCACCTCGCTACCAACCTACAGTATGACAATAGTTACCTCGCTACCAACCTACATTATGACAAGTGTCACCTCGCTACCAACCTACAGTATGGCAATAGTCACCTGGCTACCAACATTCAGCATGACAATAGTTACCTCGCTACCAACCTACAGTATGACAATAGTCACCTCGCTACCAACCTACAGTATGACAATAGTCACCTCGCTACCAACCTACAGTATGACAATAGTCACCTCGCTACCAACCTACAGTATGACAATAGTCACCTCGCTACCAACCTACAGTATGACAATAGTCACCTCGCTACCAACCTACAGTATGACAATAGTCACCTCGCTACCAACCTACAGTATGACAATTGTCACCTCGCTACCAACCTATAGTATGACAATTGTCACCTCGCTACCAACCTACAGTATGACAAGTGTCACCTCGCTACCAACCTACAGTATGGCAATAGTCACCTGGCTACTAACCTTCAGCATGACAATAGTTACCTCGCTACCAACCTACAGTATGACAATAGTCACCTCGCTACCAACCTACAGAATGACAATAATTACCTCACTACCAACCTACAGTATGACAATAGTCACCTCGCTACCAACCTACAGTATGACAATAGTCACCTCGCTACCAACCTACAGTATGACAATAGTCACCTCGCTACCAACCTACAGTATGACAATAGTCACCTCGCTACCAACCTACAGTATGACAATTGCCACCTCGCTATCAACCTACAGTATGACAATAGTCACCTCGCTACCAACCTACAGTATAACAATAGTCACCTCGCTACCAACCTATAGTATGACAATTGTCACCTCGCTACCAACATACAGTATGACAAGTGTCACCTCGCTACCAACTTACAGTATAACAATAATCACCTCGCTACCAACGTACAGTATGACAATTGTCACCTCGCTACCAACATACAGTATGACAAGTTTCACCTCGCTATCAACCTACAGTATGACAATAGTTACCTCGCTACCAACCTACAGTATAACAATAATCCCCTCGCTACCAACGTACAGGATGACAATTGTCACCTCGCTATCAACCTACAGTATGACAAGTGTCACCTCGCTACCAACCTACAGTATGACAAGTGTCACCTCGCTACCAACGTACAGTATGACAATAGTTACCTCGCTACCACCCTACAGTATGACAATAGCTACCTCGCTACCAACCTACAGTATGACAATAATTACATCGCTACCAACCTACAGAATGACAATAGTCACCTCGCTACCGGCGTACAGTATGACAATTGTCATCTCGCTACCAACATACAGTATGACAATTGTCACCTCGCTACCAACCTACAGTATGGCAATAGTCACCTGGCTACCAACCTTCAGCATGACAATAGTTACCTCGCTACCAACCTACAGTATGACAATAGTCACCTCGCTACCAACCTACAGTATGACAATTGTCATCTAGCTAACAACCTACAGTATAACATGAGTGTCATCTCACTTCTAACCCATTGTATGGCAATAATGGTCAACTTCCTATCAACCTAGAATATAACAGTACCAGTTACTTCACTATCAACGTACAGCATTACAATAATGGTCACATCGTTTTCTACATGTACTTTGAAATATAACACAAATATTTAACTCTCTATCAAACTACAGTATTACAATAATGTTAACCTCACTTACATCCTACAGTGTGATAATGACGTTCACCTTATTACCAACCTGTATGACAAACATGACAATTTAATTTCCGATTTTCAACTTCAGCCTTGCTTAATGAGTTTACATGCCACATTGGATTACTCCAGAACCTATTGTTATTATCCGGATTCTGTTTAAAAAACCCGTCTAGTTGACAAGTAAACTTCTCTGTGGTATGTCTTTCTTCCCAGGAGGGTTCTATCTGAGACGACACTACAGTGTTTGCCTTGATTAATACTTTGCTTTATGTCTTAAATCGTTGATGACGTATATATATTTCCTGGATTTGCCTCTGATGTCATGCTACTTATCTGCTTTCTTTTTTTTTTTATTTCTTTTTTTTTTAACTTTCCGATTGTCTTGACTTCATGGTAGTTCGTTGCCTTCAAGCAAATTATTAGGCGTCCTTTGATACTATTAATCACTCATAGGTTCTACAATAATTACTGCAGACTTATCCTTGTTGAGATTTCACTGAAGATTTTAATACGAAAATCTCTACGCATATAATCACACGAAAAGAGTATTGTTGTTAGGAAGATATCAACAAAACTGAAAACAACGCGCTTATGGTTCAGTTTAATCAAAGCTGTATCTCTGCTGGTCATGTTGTAAGTAAGGTCAAAAAAGGTGGTAAATGTAGAAGGATCTGTAGAATCCATGATTTCGATTTCAGGAGGATTTACGATCGATGTGGAGGCAAGTCAGCATGACAGAGATATATCTGAAAATGAAATTTGAAACTGACGCACTTGGCATGCCTTTTGTTACTGGCCAATCGTTATCACAATTTTATCCACAGTATATATCAGTTTAGCCGTTGTCGTGGTTTTACAAAATTTGCCTCAAAGTAGATTAGAGAACCTTAAGTTCGGTATAATTAAGGTTTTTAGTGAGCAGCGTGGAAAAGACGAATGTTCTGATAAAAGAAACACTTTTTGGGAGAATATGCTCAAGACTTATCAAAATAACTTTAACTGCTTCAAAATCTACATTCCATTAATTCACTATTGAAGTTTACATTGTCAAAATACGATAGCTTGGTTGAGCAACTAGCAGAGTCAGCGAAAACGTTAATTGTTTAATAGGATTTTGTGAAGTTTCGCAATCCGAAACAAAGGAGGCAGGTCCGTGAACGTTACCTTATCATTAACCGTCTCTCGGAGAAATTTTCAGTTACTTACATTTCAACTTCGGAAAAATAGGTCCGAATACCTTGGCTATGAAGCAATTCTTTCTTGTTTTACAAATTATTTTTGCAAGCAGGAAAGAAACAATATTTTCAGGTTTCAAGTTTATTTGAAGTTTTGTCTTCCTATTTAACTCCATACTTATACCACGCAGATCGTTGAGTGTGGTTTAGATATCGGGGTTAAGGAATGCAGACTTGTGTTTAGTTTTCATTTTGGATTTCAAGCTGCTAAATCTTTTAAGAGCAATGGATCTGATAGATTAACCCACTGCATGTACACACTCACGTCAGAAGATACCACGAAGAACAATGTAACGCTGTGTTTCACAAATATTCATAAGTGTACAGCATATAACTAGGTTTTAGACCTATCTGAGCTCCTGTTTAGCACCAGGATCAGTATGCACTGCTTTGTGATCACATATTCCGTCTCTGCGTATTGCAGAGTTATCTTCTCTTGGGAGCCGGTATTGATTGTTACGTCACTTGTTTGTGAGAGGAACGTCATCAATTTTTGAGAAAACGACGTCATTTTCTCACACAAACCAATGACGTAACAATCAATACCTGCTCCCAAGAGAAGATAACTCTGCAATACGCAAAGACGGAATGGAATGATCCTGGCTCCATTTTTCTAATCTGGTGTCCATTGCGTTGTTCAGGTTATTTAAACTGTCACCTGTTTCGATGGCCAAGATTTGAACGCGAAATTCTATACGTTTGGCCAACCGCATGCACAACAAATACAAATCTCATTTGATTTAACTGTGGCATATATAACTATGCCAATGACCATCCACGGGGGTTCTTTATAAATGTCTAAAATACATATGCTATGCTGATGTTTTCGTGTGCTGTGACCCATAGCTGTTCAGGTTTAATTAAGACATTTGTAAGGAACCCTGAGGAACATCGACCAGTAAACTTTTCATACAAGCAATGGCTAAATAACCTGCATTTTGGATCCACTAAAGACAGGATGATGGTACAGGACCAGAGAGGTATAACGACGTCTAAAATCGTGTTACCTATTGTACGCTAATGAATAATACATTTGATATAGTAAGGGGAATAACTCGTAAACGACTAACATGGTAAGATGTCTAGAAAATCTCAAAATCAATTCATTGAAACTAAATTTCTAAAAATTATAAATGCAAATTCAAACTGAAATATTTTTAAATTGAATAAAAAAACGCCGCTTAGTTTTCATTTTTTCTTTGAATGAAGATCTAGATCTATACCATTTTAAGTAGAAACGGTGACGGAAAATAAAGAACAAAATCCAATAGGATTGTAAAGACGTTGCCTTTTTTCTTTACTCTACAACAAGCGTGGATTTTTAATTAGAATTTTGACTTCTCCATCATATTGAATTACAATCCTTACAATCATGTTTTATACTACAGTGTAAAAAATGTTTTTATGATGTACAGGTGTTAAGCATAGTGAAAAGAAAACTCTGAGCTCTTTGGTTTATTGTTAGTGTTTTTTCAGAATGCATTCGAAATTCCTTTTTTCACATTTTTTTTCTTTTAATTTATTATTTTGTGTGTCATATATATTAGTATATGGCCTCTAAAATGAAATATTTAATAACAAGTAATTGTGTATTCAGACCGTGATACAAATGATGACGATACCGTATGTATTGCCGAGTGGAGGGAGATGATCATTTTTTTCTAATTTTGGGATTAAGAGTGTGACGAAGAGAGAAACCAGACCACGAAAAAAATCTGAGTGGTAAAAAAACAAAATAAAATGTTAATGCTTAAAACCTATATATTTTGTCCTCCTGTGCACAAACAGATTTTTAGGCGAAATTTTAATGTCTTTTTTAAAATTTACTTTTGTCATGGCCGTAAAATGGATTTTCAGTTGGAATGTTATTGGCTAAGATTAAAGGGAAATAACTCCCATAATACCAAATGACTTCCGGTATAATGAAGACTTCCGACGCGCCAAAACAAATGATGCTGACTTGGTAGGAAGAAGAGAAACCAGTCAAACGTGCTAAGACGGGAGACATTGAGTTACTTTTATTGGTAAGGAGTCTAAGACATGATATTTAAAACTACATCTGAGAATAGACATAATTCCAAATGTTTAAGTTAGACAGTGCAGTGTTAGAAAAATTACACGTTACGGCTTGTAAACAAACACACGTGATTTTTAGGTGACATTTCGTTTTTTAAGTTTTTTTAAAATAATAGTTAATTTAGGGGTTCTTAATGTCACTCATTGTTTCGAAAATTTCTTAACATGGAAATCAGACATAATGACATCACTGATGAAGTATTCATATAATTGTCCTCATTTAATTAGTTTGTGTTATGGTCTTGCAGATACGGTCACTGATAACTTTCCAAGATGTCGACGATTGAGAAGATGACAATCCAGGGAATTAGAAGTTTTGGTCCGGATGACTCCGAAAAACAGATGATAGAATTTTATAGTCCTTTGACTCTGATACTTGGACCAAATGGAACAGGGAAAACCGTAAGTGAACTAAATATTGTTATGTAACTGACAGGACTGTCACAAACTGGATTACGAATTAAAAACTCTTGAAACTTGGGAGCGGAAATGGCAGATGAATTTTAACGCCAAAAAGTGTTCCATCGTAAATATCTCTAGGAAGAAAACCCCTATCAATATTCGTTACGTGGTCAAACTCTAGAAAATTTAGATTCTGGAAAATATCTAGGGTTCATCATCAACTCCGAACTAAATTGGAACAACCATATACAGTCCATCACCACCAAGGCTAACACGACACTAGGTGTCTTAAGGCACTATGTCATCTTGCACTAAAAAAGTATAATCAGTAACATATACAACACTAGTAAGACCATCACTAGAATATGCAGCTACATGCTGGGACCCTTATATACATCGGACCAGGTCCTGGCAATCGAGAACATCCAGAGAAGAGCTGCCCGGTATGTTTACAGCCAACAGATCTAGAGAGCCTGGCTGTGTCACCAACATGATAACATCACTAAACTAGGAACCCCTAGCCAATCAAAGAACAAAAGCCAGACTAATCATGTGGCTATAGATCCAACATCATACACAACATCAAGTGATAGGAGAATATGAGGCACACACAAACTTAACCAAATTTCTCCCAACAAAAATCTATATAAATATTCTTTCTTTCCAAGAACTATCATCGATTGGAACTCTTTACCAGCATCGCTAGCACTGGATCCAAACATGAACTCATTCAGGTCTGCCCTTGCTAGCTACAACCTACCCTAAATCTGTGCTTGTTTTATCTTAAATAAAAAATAACAAAAAAATCTTGTTTTTAATATGCCACCTCCCAGGGACAATTAAACTCAAACCTTTGAGTCTGTCCCTAAGACTGGAATTAGAAGAAAGAGAATAGTTAGCCTGAGTTTCCTCTGGCCCTGACCTAAGACTTAGACATTTTGACATATAGATGTCTGGTGTGGGGCCTGAGCGCACTGCTATATGAAAATGTGGAATTCTCTGACACCGTTTGGTATTGGAGAGTTATGGGGTGCTAACAACAATTGAATTTAGCAGCTATTATCGATATATGTGTTGTGTCATAGTAGATTTTTGTTGTCAGCACCTCATAACTCCCTGATACCAAACGGTGTCAGAGAATTCCACATTTTCATATAGCAGTGCGCTCTGGCTCCACACACCAGACATCTATATGTCAAACAGTCTGGTGTTAGGGCCAGAGGAAATTCGGGCTAGAGAATAGTGTGCCCCACCTGCGGGGATCAAACCCTCGATCTCCAGGTTCCTAGTCGGACACTCTACCACTGAGCTAAAGGGAAATTCCCCTCTAGCTCGTAGCTAGAAGGCGACTGTAATCCTATGTACAATTAAAATCTGCCACAGTTATATATTAAATTACATTAAATTATTTTGTGAAAAACTCAAATGTGCAAGTTTTGCACTTAAACAGTATATACTTAGTCAACCTCTCTACTGTCAGTAATGGACACGTTTTGGAGAAGCATGCAGCAATTTCATAGACTACAAAAAAAACAATTTTCTCAAAAAAAAGCATTTTGTCTGGTACAGATATGTAAATGCTGAAAGGTTATATTACCTGACAAATCAACCTTTACAGGGCAGTTTGGTCCAGGAGATGCGAGTTGCAAAGGATCGTGGTGTATTTTCTTACAGTATCATTTTTAATTGAATTATCTCCTTTTCCTTAACTTCAATTAAGCAACCATGTGAAAAGTTGTGAAAATATCATAATTGAAAGTTATCTTTCTTGCTTTGTTTTACAGCATTTTAAATTTCTGTCAATATAAATGATGGTATTAATTAAATATGTACATGTGTGTGTTGTTTTCAATCAAGTGAAGTGTAACTAAGTTTTGTTTTAATGTTGAATGTTAAATACAACTATTGAAATATTGGATTCCTGGATAGAAATTAATGCTATACTTAGTGACTGTGGACATTTAGTGTAACAATATGTTATCAAAGCCCCCCCCCCCCCCCCCCCCCCCCCCCCCCCCAATAGTGTCACCAATGTGGCTATGTACATTTTTGTCCTGACACATTTTAGTTCTGATTGTAAAATATTAATGGTTTCATGTATTTAATTTGTTAATTAAGGATGATTGTTTGAGCTAAAATTAATTATTGTGAATTTCATTTTTTTTTCTTTGTTTGTGATATTATTCTTGTTTGCTTGCTATTTGACTAATGCTTCAAATATAAAACCGTGTGTCAAACCTCATAAGATCAAGAATGAAGCCAGGATACATGTTTGTGCTAAGTCCAATGCATCCTTTTTGAGATATGTTTTTTTCTTTGGATTTGACAGAGTTTTATGCGCTTTAGATACTCATGCTTGTCGTACAATAGGAGAATGAGTACTTCTAGTAAACAGTAACACAATTAATCTGACAGCTGTCACAACAAGATGATGAAATGCTATATGTTATGTTACACACAGATGAGCTGTAAAGCTCAATGAAATAGAAGAATTTGATATTTAATATTTCCTAAAAATATTGGGGGGAAAATACACAATTCAAATAATTCTATCCCTTGAACAAGGAATTTGGCTTAAGCAAAAAATTAGAGTTTGAGGATAAAAATGGTTTCATGAATAAAGACCCAGGGCTCAAAAGAAGAAAAAAAAGCTGAATTGTTTCATAGTCGTGAACAAAGGTTGTCGAACATGTAGACAAAATGGCGAGAGACAATACTGTAGGTCATCTTTAATGGATGATGATGGAGGAAGCTGATCAGGTCACTACTTGTGGGTTGGTTGAAGGCACTATAGGTCAGAACCTGTCTGGTTTACATGGAAGCTGTAACTTGTTGTGTGTGGTGGCCTTGGTGTGCAATTAAGTTAAAACACGAAAATCATAAACTTAAAGAACAGTTGTTACTTACAGACCCAATGTCACTGCTGATCGTTGAATGTCTGTTAACCTTGATGTTTGTAGATAATCTTTGTTTAATGTTGTTTTAAAGAACCCTAGACATTCTATAAAGACATGTACGAATCTCAGGGATATCAAGTCACTTTGTTTTAATGCCCACTAAAATGCAGTTAGTCATTGTACTGATATCATAGGATGTTAATTATGACAATTAGTTTTACTCTTTGTATTCCTTTTGTGGTATAATTTGTGTTATTTTTACAGACTGTTATAGAGTGTCTGAAGTATATGACTACCGGGGTGATGCCTCCAGGATCCAAGGGTGGGGCTTTCGTTCATGATCCAAAGGTGAGGTGGACAATTTTATTTTAATTTATATGATTATTCATTATAACATTAACCCACATAGTGTAAATGCTAGATAAAAAAATACACTTTGCAAACTTAATGTTGGGTATTAATTTTCTTCAGCAACTATGTGTTTGACTTAAATAATTACTCATACACCCATCTTTTATGATTTATTTATTTTCATATGTTACATATTTATTCATTACAATCTGTATGTTGCAGGTGGCTCATGAAAGAGAGGTCAAAGGTCAGATCAGGCTACAGGTCAAGGATGTTGCCAGACAAACAGTTATTGTACAGAGAAGTATGCAGGTTACACAGAAGGTAAATGTATATGACACCAATTGTTTTCAAGATCATTGCAACTTTGGTGATGTCTGACTAGTCTGCAGGAAGTTATCACAAAACTATAACATGTCGATGATTTTTTGTACCATTTCAGATTGATAAGTGAATCTAAGACTTTTAAATTTTAGTTAGACATTTAAATATATATAGAAAAAGTATCATAAAAATAATTTATGTCTCAAAAGAACCATACAGCAAGTCACATCTCTGCTAGATGATATTGATTGTTAATGGGAACTGATATATTTTATATATTTTGGAGGTATTGCAACATGCAACTTTTGATATAATGCAACAAATTGTTTTCATATATGATTTATTATGAAGTGATAAGATGAAATGAAAGAGTGCTTAAGTAACAAGTGTTTTGTGTAGTATGAATTGTAGTTTCACTGCAGAATACAGTTAAAAGTGAGAGAAGTCTTGGTATTTAATCAGAAGCATAGATTGAAACTTAATACTGGCCAGATTTACAGTTGTTTATATATTTACGCAAGTCTGGCTACCTCCATTTTAAGCTGACTGGATAGTGATAAGGTTAGATGATATATAATTACTAGATCACTGTTGTATAGAAAAAACGGTGTCTCCTAAAAGACTGGCATCATTGCCACATTATATTGATGATGGTTGGATAAACATAGCAGAATTATGGTTTGAATTCTTTTAATAAACAGCTGAAGAATATCACGATGCGGACCCTGGAGGGAGTGATCACACGGAGAGATGCAGCAGGAGAGAAGAAAAGCATCAGCTCCAAGTGTGCCGAGATGGATCGGGAGGTGTGTGATAGGAAATAAAGTGCTGGTGTCAACATTGAATTAAACTCTTATGAGGATCAATATTATTTTTAAGGCTTCTTTGCACATTACCCAATTAGGGTTATTAAATTAAAAAAAAAGTAAAATGTTTTTTTTTTGTGTGGTTCTAATTTTTGTTGTAACAATTTTTCCACACAAAAAAACAGCCTGTGACACAATCAGAAACTAATCCATCCCTACTGTCGCATTTTATGCCATGGCCACTAGACCAGAAATCCACCAGAATAATATAAGGTTCATCAAATTGACCATCAAGCGAATATGCAAAACACAAGAAATAGCAAAAATAAGTCACATTTACAGTAAGAATTTAAATCTTACTTGTCCTAATTTTTCCAACAAAATTAATGAAATTGTTCGTGGTTGAGGATGTGCTGTGTTGTCTAGTAATTGTTCCTTGGTGTGATTGAGGATGTGCTGTGTTGTTTAGTAATTGTTCCTTGGTGTGGTTGAGGATGTGCTGTGTTGTTTAGTAATTGTTCCTTGGTGTGGTTGAGGATGTGTTGTGTTGTCTAGTAAACGTTCCTTGGTGTGGTTGTGGATGTGCTGTGTTTTCTAGTAATTGTTCCTTGGTGTGGTTGAGGATGTGCTGTGGTGGCTAGTAAACGTTCCTTGGTGTGGTTGAGGATGTGCAGGGTTGTCTAGTAAACGTTCCTTGGTGTGGTTGAGGATGTGCTGTTTTGTCTAGTAATTGTTCCTTGGTGTGGTTGAGGATGTGTTGTGTTGTCTAGTAAACGTTCCTTGGTGTGGTTGTGGATGTGCTGTGTTTTCTAGTAATTGTTCCTTGGTGTGGTTGAGGATGTGCTGTGGTGGCTAGTAAACGTTCCTTGGTGTGGTTGAGGATGTGCAGGGTTGTCTAGTAAACGTTCCTTGGTGTGGTTGAGGATGTGCTGCGTTGTCTAGTAATTGTTCCTTGGTGTGGTTGAGGATGTGCTGTGTTGTCTAGTAAACGTTTTGTTTCCCCCCTCAGATGATAACGTCACTAGGTGTGTCGAAGCCAGTGCTGGAGAACGTGATCTTCTGTCACCAGGAGGACGCCAACTGGCCGCTCAGTGAGGGAAAGTCACTGAAGGAAAAGTTTGATGCCATCTTTGCCTCAACCAGATACGTGAAGGCTCTTGACACAATAATGAAGCTGAAAAAGACTCAGGTAATACATTAAGTTAAAAAACAAATCCTCATCAAAGATGTGTAGTTGTTAGTTATACATAAAGTTAAAAAACAAATCCTCATCAAAGATGTGAAGTTGTTAGTTATACATAAAGTTAAAAAAACCCAAATCCTCATCAAAGACCCAGGTAATACATAAAGTTAAAAAACAAATCCTCATCAAAGATGTGTAGTTGTTAGTTGTGAAGATAAAGTCCTAGTTTCATAGGTAACTTTGAGTTATACTTTTGGCTTCACTACTAAATAAGAAATTTCGCCATTGCTTTCCCTTATAGATGCTGTTAAATCATTTATAGGCCCCTAAGATATCCAAGAAAAAATCCAATTAAAAGGCTGTTTTGTACACATATTAACAGGACCAAGACTTGAAATTGCTGCGACAAGATATCATCTACTTCAAACAGCACAAAGACAAGGCAGCACAGGTAATGTGGGTTGTGGTTTTAGATTAGCCATTGGTGTCAGGATGTTTGATTTTACTGTAAGAGTTGTCTCCCTTCTTTGTTGGCATTCATCATAAGCTAGATACTTTCTTGACTTATTTTGTGAACTTACACACCTACTAAAAACATGCACGTTAATTGTTAAGAATATTCTTGTAACATATCCCTCACCTGCACATTTCTGAAGGAAGGTTTCTTCCCTCTCTACACCATTGATATTAACTAAGATGTCTAAAACAATCGCTCAGTCCTAATTATGTATCATTGAAAATTGTTTTGATTACTTGCAAAACTTCACTAGTTGTTGAAAGAGATGGTTTCAAGCCTGGTAATTGTAACCTGATATTAATATCCGTTCTACCACAGCTGGATGCTGACATGAATGAACTGGAGGTCAAGCTAGAAGCATCCAAGGAGTCTGTGGTCAAGGTGGCGGAGAAGTTGGTACCGATAGAGGTGATACACAATAGTACAATCTTGGGGTATACTGACACAGTCCATCAGTAAACAGATAATGTGTTGTATACAGTCTCCAAGCTGTTGAACTATTTAATCTATAGTCTAAAGTTCATCAGGGAACCCTGATATAAGCTATTGAAGTATTGGGCTCATGTCGTGTAGAATAGTGGGTTTTGATTCTGTCAATCACTTTTGATTGCAAGAGATTCATTTTTGTGTTAATTTGCAAGGAGACTCATTTGCAGATTTATATTTTGAATAAATGTTGTTTAGAAAAATCAGCATCAATATTTAAATACCATCTTCTCAATTGCGAATTCAAGAAAATGTGATAAAAATGTTGATGTGGAAATAAAGTACAGACAAATATAGAATTATTTACAGCAGTTGTTTCTTATATTAGATAGAAAGATGTAGAATAATTATTAAGGATTCGGTTTCGATCATTAAAGGTATGATTTTTGTTTAAAAATAGTTTTGTTTAGTGGAATATAGAAATATGTCTTTTGATTTTGTATTCAGGACAAATTAGAACAGATCAGTGTGAAAGCAGGTGAAATCTACAAAATACAAACGGATGTCAGTGAGTATTTCAAAAACTATGAGTCACTTATACTTACCCCTGGTGAGGTAAATATTTTCATGTTAATTTGCCAGGAGATATTAGATGTTTCATGAGTATTCTTTATCCAATCTTTAACATTCATCTTTCAAGATTAATCATCATCAAAATATTTCCGTAATTATTTGTCAAATCTCTGGGATCCTTTGTGAATATTCATCATCAAATATTTTCTGAATATTCATCTCATCATTTTCCCCCCACATATAAAATTCAAATTTTTTAAAATGAATATTGTGTAAGTGTCAGAGCCTGATGAAATGACACTAATCTGAAACTTGCCATTTGAAATCACATTAATTGCCATTTGATAAAACTGACATTTACAGTAATAGTTCATCTGTCTGTGTTTCAGCGAAGCACCAGAGTGAGCTAAAACAGATGGAGAAGGCAGCCAATGAATTACAGGAGAACATTGAGAATGAATTCCAAGGTAAAATCTTAAAAAAAATGACATTTAAGATACAAAAATGCTGGAATAAATAACCTGATTCTTTTTATATGCGCGTCAAATTTGACGGAAGTATTATGGTATGGGGTTGTCTGGCCGGCCGGCGTAAACTTTTGTTTGTTCGGCAATCTCCTCCTACATTTTTCGACTGATCTCTTTGAAACTTGGTATTCATTATAATCATGATATGAAGTTGTGTCTCCCTTAAAAGAATTTTGATTCAACACTTTTTCAAAAGTTATTGCCCTTTGTTCATTTCAGTATTTGATTTTTTGTATGGAGATCTCCTACATTTTTTGATGGCTTTCTTTGAAACTTAGTAGGCTAAAATATCATGATATGTTGTTGTGTTTCCTTGAAAGAATTTTGATTCAACAATTTTTGCAAAAGTTATTGCCCTTTGTTTATTTCAGTATTTGATTTTTGTCCGGCAATCTTCTCCTACATTTTTCAACGGATCTTTTTGAAACTTTGTATACATTATAATCATGATATGAAGTTGTGTCTTCCTTAAAAGAACTATGATTTGACGATTTTTGCAAAAGTTATTGCCCTTTGTTCATTTCAGTATTTGATTTTTTGTATGGAGATTTTCTCCTACAGTTTATAGCATGTCCGCTAACCACTCTTAGAATTGTGCAGATCTTATTTCAATGTAAGAAAGTATATAACACTATATGGCATTCGACGGGCGTATATTGTTCCGCCACGCGGTAGTCTTGTTTTTGTTGTCTCTGGTTTACAGATCTACGTATTTTAACAATTTTTATAATGGATTTATTAGCAAGTGATCAATTTCTATATTGGATTTATAATCTTCAGAAAATGTTATTTTATATATTTTGTTTTCATTGGAAATGGTTAATCATATGCATTTCACTTTTTCTCGAATCGTCATATACACACGTGTATTACAGTACATTGATTGTCAGTCTGTAGAGTTACAGCTACCTTTCATGATTTGAATGTATTACTTGGTAATCGATAGAAATTTTCTCATGATTGATGTGTATCTGCATGAAGTGTACCTAGTGAAGGTAAACCAGTAATTCCTATCAATTGTGATATGTCTAAGTTGAAAGGCAGGTAAAATGATTATAGTTAGTTTTAATTAAATATTAATGAAGATTCTTTGATTAACATCCATAACCCTGACTAAACCTACAAACTAAAACTTTTGCTACTTATCAATACTTGAGATAGGTAATCATAATTTTCTTTCATTTACTAAAGGCTCCACAGAAGAACTCAAAAAGGTTCTAGCAGATTTTCAGAGCAAGGTCCAGGAGAGGGAGGAAAAGCTACAGGAGGTAAGCACTAGCTATTAGAGGGACACTTTTGTAATCAGGGGATAGAGGGTATTACTGTAGCTGTTTTACTGACAGTGTTCGTGTCCTGTGCGCATGCACTGACATAGATTTTTTAACTTTTTTTAAACCTACATTTGTACCTGCTCTTTTTTGCCAGGCACCTGTTTTCATATGAACTTGATATTGCAAGGAAATTAAAGCCTTTAAAACCAAACAAAGAAAATTGGTAATTACCCCAGTCATAAATTGTTTTATTTAGTCATTCAGTGGAAACAAATCTAATGAAAAGTTGAAAAACCGTCTTTCTGCGACTAGAATCAAAATGTGAAGGACATCTAGAAAGATGGCGTGCAGAGAAATGACATTTAGACTGGTTTATTAATGGTCATAAATAAACAAGACAAAATGTATGCAGTCCCTGGATTAGAAATTAACAGCCCAACAGCATTAACATTTTTTATTGATCTTGTTTGACCAGTATCAACACCGGAAGGAGGACCTGTCGAGAGATATAGACCGGGTGGTCAGAAATAAGAATGATACCCTCGTGGATGTTAGCAAGATGGAGCAGGAAGCTCAGGTAGGCATGCCCAGACTTCCAATCAGATCGTATAGAAAGGCAGTTCCGAGTTCCTCGTGATTAAAGCTTAGCACCTGTACTTTGTATCCATACCAAACGTATGTGAACCGTACCATTTAACTATAGATTCCAAACTGGTGTAGAGACTACATTAATTGTAGAGAAGGGTCAAAGTTACCAGGAATTACTACACAGTATATCTGAAATGTTACAGAATATATTCTATTTTACACAATATACCTGCACTTTTTATTAACATTAAACATGATTATTTAAACTAATATTTATAGCTGATAATTCACATGTCCATATATGAGGTTAACTGATTAATAAATTTCAAATGACCTTTGTGAAGATACATGTCAAGTCAGGTAATATATTTCATTGAATTTGTCTTCTATACAAAAGAGAGGCCTCTTCCATATGTGTACCAACTTATTAGGGCTCTGATTTCATGGATATAAAATAAAACATAAATGTGTTGAATATCCTGAAGAATACATTATATGAGAATATTTGTTTTAGAATCATGAAGAAAATACCAAGAGACGGGATGCATTAATTCGACAGATGGCTGAGAAGTATGACTTTGATGGTTTGTACATATCACTGTATCTAACAGCACTTATCAGAAATTAACACAATTAGTCCAACACATTAAACTAAACTCATTCAGTGATAGATTACTTACCAAAAGTGTAGGTATGGTTTAACTCCTTACATCTCATTAATAAAATATATTAAAATAATGTCAGTACTGAGTAACTCAATAGAGTATATACTAGTGTCAGTAGGCATAGCATGCTTCAGTGGTGAAGGACACACTAAGGTATAATCCATGGATAATTAATGAGGTCACTTTTCCACTACTGACATCCTGTTAAAATAACTGTGCTGTCCTGAATTCCTCATCATCTCCTGATTTTTCACTTTGCAGAGTTTCTTTATTTAAGAAATTGCAATGTAGAGTGGCATGCCTTGTCCGTCACAGTGCCACAAACATACAGACCGCTTGTGATTGGTACTTACAAACACTTCATAAATTCTTATCTGTATATTTTCTTTCAGGGTTTTCAAGAGGAGAAATGACTGATGAGAAGTATCGCCAGTTTGTAGAAAAAATTCGAGAGAAACTTTTGACAATGGTGGAGGAAGGGAAGCAACTCAAGGTAGGGTAACGCTTCATTCCAGCAGTTATCGTGTTTTACCAGCAGTGTTTTCATTAAAAGCTGGTGGGCTGCTAAAGCAGCCTGTTATTCTGCAGCTTTGAACTGCCTATAAATATATCAGAATATGGAAAGTCAACATTATATCAAATGAACATCCAACCGGCTATTCTTTCCAAGTCAACCACCTGTTTCAAAACTTTATGATACCACTGACCGGTAGATTGTTAATAGCACTGACCAGTAGATTGTTAATAGCACTGAGCAGTAGATTGTTAATAGCACTGACCAGAAGATTGTAAATACATATATTCTTCTGGCACTTTAAATATTGCAAAAGTAGAATTTTTCACATTTTGACTCTATTGTCGAATTATATGTGGTGTTAAAATGTTCATGTTGGCTATGTTATTGCAGAAAAACTAGAATATATTTCATAGTGTGTCATAGGTTTGCATATCTTTGTGCTTATTCAGTAATTGGTACCATAGTTACTTGGTCTAACAGTGTTCTGTAATATCTGTAACTATGACTTCATTTTTGCCTAATTGTTTCCTAATGGATGAATCTAATAAAGCTGTTCCTAATTATTCCTGTGTAGCTTTCACAATTTACCATTCTACCATGTGAGACTTTCTTTTGGATAAATAAAGGGAGACTTTGAAAAACAAGAAGGAGAACTCCAACAAAAGATGGACGATTTAAGAGAGAGCAAAACCAAACTGGAACAAAATGAACGAATCAAAAAAGATATGATGGTGAGCATCTAGAAATATTGTGTGTACAAACATATAAGATGGTCGAATAAATTATCAAAGAATCATTAAAGATATATGCTACCTTCAACATTTGTATGAGAGCTGACTCCCTTAAAACCCCTGAATTAGTCTCATTCTTCAATGTTTTGTTTACATGTGTCACCAATTTATCAAGTCCACGTTACTATTCATAATACATTCAGATTTCTTAATGTGAAACTCTCTGGAGAGGAGGTGCCTATGACAAGAGGAAGGATGTCTCCTTAAGTCTCTATGTCACTGTAAGGTTGCAAAGCTCCTTAAGTCTTTATGTCATATGAAGGAAGAGTGTCTTCTTAAGTCTCCATGACAAAGAAGTTAGTTTAAGCCTCCACATCACAATAAGGTTGCATAGCTCCTTAAGTCTTTATGTCACAGAAGGTAGTCTGTCTCATTAAGCTGATGGAACATGTTATTGACACACTACATGTATAAAGATAATTAGTTAGCAAGCATTCGAGAGTATTAAATATAAATCACTTTATATCCAGAACAATATGTACCACAACATTTATTCCCAAATACTTGAATCTTGATTGTTTAGGGTATGCTTTGTATTTCAATATTAATAATTTATCCATGGAGTTAACATCTATGGAATAATATCTGTTATTATATGCTTGAAAATTTCTCGCAATCACATTGGCCAGATCATATACATGTGACCAGTCCTCAAAAACTCATGTAGACTGGTTATCCGGTGAATATCGATTTCTAAATATAGCTTATATGGAAATTCCCCGCAACCTGTCATAGTGCATGCACAGTTAGACTGGAACCCGATCTGTCAGACGACAACAAAATATGGCTGTTTGCGATCTGCCTTGGTTACATATGAAAATGTTAAAAAACCAACTTGAAGATAAAGATGCTGTTAACACAAAAAAAGGCACCTGAACACGCAGTGGATGTCCTCCATGCTTATTTAAAGGAAATAACCTTGACGATGTCTACGAAAGCTACAATGCTAAACTGTTGGATTCAACCATGGTTACATATTCCATCGAGAACCTTTTTTTTCTTTCTAAATGTTAATGTTGAAGCAAATAATAAAACAGTTATGAGCTTTTGTGTTGGTAATTATGATGTGATATAAACCTTAAAAAAGTGATATTAACCTCGGCTTCGCCTCGGTCAATATCACTTTTTTAGGTTCATATCACATCATATTCACCAGCACAAAAGTCCATAATTGTATATCTTGAATGGCACTATCATGTTTTGAAGACCTTGACTTTATTGGGAGTATCGGTTTGTCGTAATGGAGATAACTGTGTTGACAGGCAGACAACACGGACAAGATGAAGCAAATCAACAGAAAGCTGAGTCAGGTGGAGGCCTCGGCTGGTAAACTCGACCAGCTGACTCGGGAACTCAAGCGTGCTGTACGTACGATGTCATTCGATATCTACATATCTAGACAATATTATTTGATACATATACGTAATGAGACCTCATCTGATCATAACTGATCAGAAGAATTTTATACTCACTTGGAAATATTATTATATATATTGGAAAAATTATATCCAAAATTCAAAGTCCATGTTTCCTTATTATCTATATACTTCCTTTATATACAAATACGCCTTGATATATTACTAACACCAATTATAACGTCAAAATTGCACTTGACCCATGTTGGCAGTGTAACATGGATTTTCTCTGTAAGGAAATGTGAAACGGTAGACTTTTATACATTATGTAATGCCTAAGAAACCTGTTTAGTGAGATGATCTATGCTCAATCCATGTTTGAGGAGGTTTCACCCAGTTGTTCAAGCTTTTCTGATGTCCTTGCATCAAGATTGTAATTAGCTTTGTTGTCATATTTAGGACCACGACCTAAAGATGGTTGAGGAAGGGCTAGATGTGGAGAAAACCAAGCAGGAGATTACACAGCTCACCAAGGACAAAACTAAACTGGACGCTCAGATTGGGCAACTAAGGTAACTGGACATACATACCGTAAATATTCGCGTATAGTGCACACTTTTTTAAGGAAAATCTTCAAGTGTAATGAAAGGGGAGCACACTATACACAAGAACAATCCAAAACCAGTCCTTGGTTGCAACCATTTATCATAATTTTTTATTTAATGATATATTAAATATACATAGTCTATTTATTACAATTATATGTTAAGTTGCAGGTTAAAGTCATATTATATGATAGAATGAGGTAAATAAACTCAAGTAAAAAGTAGGCCTAACTTTGAGGTCTCATTGACATTACATTGTAAATTGATTAATACCGCATATAGGGAAATATACCGAAGAATTCATCGTAATTAGATTACACTAATTTGTTACGCTGATGTAAACGTCCATCCAGCGCTACATACACCCCTCGTCTACACAATTAACATGGCAGTGTGTAATCAGTGAGGTCGAAGCAGGACCTTTGGTATTACATTTTAAATCTCAATGCAATATTGCTAAATTAAAGGCCATTTGTTTTGTTTTAATTGCAGTTCGGAGATGAATCGCCTGCATCTCCAGTCGAGCGCCCAAGCACAATTAGACGTGTTGAAAAAGGACAAAATATCCAAGGAGGAGACAATTAGGCGTTTGTATGTTGACTACCTCTTTGTAATACCTAGATAAAAGGAGATGCTCGTTAATTAACAATTAGTATGTGAAATGTTTCTTTCACTTCTTACATATTGTGTATTGTTTAATTATATAGACATTCAAAATATTTGATAATTTTAATAAGTAAGGACACAAAAAATTAAAAATCAAATAAAGATTACACACTGATGCAAGACTATATCAGAATAACTGGTGTAAAACAAGAATGTTTTTGCTTCAGTGTGACTGTGCCATTCCCCCCCCCCCCCCCCCCCCCCCCCTTGAACGAGTGGCGGGCGATGGGGAGCAAAATATTATCTTTATCATTATACAGGTTTAAACAATGGCATGCTGATTTCAACACCAGGCCAATTTATTGAGATTACCAGAGGATAAAACTACGGCAGTTTATCGTTATATGTCAATAGAAATTATGGGTAAATGGGAATTTTTTAGTTGATTTATTGCTTTAATGTCGTCTATAGTACACTGTATACAGTGATTGTTCAACATCATACACAGGTTTATGTTTACTTCCAATAGAATTGATTAGAGAGACTTTATTGTTTTACTTCCAGGCGAGCCAAACATGAAGACACCATTTCCTACTTGATGGGGCACATGCCGACCAGTAACATCCGTGGACAGCTGGAAAGTTACATAGCGTAGGCTACTTTTGTCCTATATATACATGACATATCCTAAAGTTAACTTCTGTTGCTTTTCCCTCTGGATGTTATATACCGATGTTCACTCGTATTGTCAAAAAACTAATAATTTTGGTACCAAAATAAGATTTGAATACCATAAGAGATATTAAGGGTAAGATTGTTTTATTCTGATAAGTACTATGTGTATTTAAAAGAAGAACGTTTTCTTTTATAGTCACAGGTAGTGTTTTCAAAAATCGTGCATAGTTAATTTAAATATATTAGAGATTTATTGTGGATGGTAACACAAACATTTGGTTGATAATTTCCAATTCTAGTTTGATGAAATTCTGATAGTTTTTTGTATTAAAAGTCTTTATGTATTTTGAAAAGATGTTTCTTTGTAATATGCTGTCAGATAATCAAACAGATCACTTTAGAAGGATGAGATGAAGTGTGATATCTAAAGCTTATTATTTTAACAAAATTGTACTGAAGGAATAGCAGTGTATTGTATCACAATGTTTTGTATCACTTTTACTTACAGTAACCAAAATGAATCTGTGAAGAAGCTTTCACACGATTTACGGAAATCACAGACACTGCTGTCATCAAAAGAGGCGGAGAAAAAGATGATGAGGTAAAAGAGCGTGCTCTTATAGGACACTTCATATGCACTAACACACACGAAACAGATTTGAAAAGAATTTCTCAAATTTTCACCCCTGTAATATTAATTTTTTTGAAAGTCTTAAGATTTTCACTGGTAGTAATTCCCAGTTGAGGAAAACAAAAACAGTCAACGCAATCATACAGTGTCCGAACAGGCCTCTTACATCTGTTACTGAAACAGGTCCTGCCACTGTTCAACTTTTGAATTTCCAAGATTCTATTAATGCAGATTTTAATTGTACATAGTATTACACCTTGTAGCTTAGTGCTAGAGGAAACTTCTCTTTAGTTCAGTAGTAGAGCGTCTGACTAGGAAATCTAGGATCGTGGGTTCAATCCCAGATGGAAGCACACTACTCTCTTTCCTAGCCTGTTACACTATTATATATTTGTGATATTAAGTTGAATTCTTAAAAGGGAAAATATCATGGTGTATATCTCTTGTCAAATTAAGATATTAAAATTAATTATATTGCATGAGATATTTCAACTCTCAATCAGCTTTCTGTGTACATTAACCTAAAAAGATAATTAAGATGGCTCATGAAATGTAAGTGAACAAATAGCATCACTATGGCACTATTTTCATAGTCAACCATCTTTGTTGTTTTTCGACATATCTATAATATAATGCAGGTGTGGAGGGGATCGAGTATACTACAGTGTGTCTGCTTACCGTAGAAATGGGCCCGGTCACCACACACACACCCTAGCATATTTCCTTGCAATCTCATTCGTAAAACTGTAGTAGTACTTATATGTTAATGCTTTTTTGTTTTTCAGTGAACAACTGCGAAAGAAAGAGGACGAGTTAAAAAGTAAGCAATGTTTAAATGATACTAATAGAGTTCAAACTAATGTGGTTAAATCTGATAAAGAAGCAGTTGTCTAGTGTGAGAAGGTAAATATTAACAGGAGTATCTCGTTATTTTCCAATGGAAAATTTTAAGTCTATATTTAATTGTAAATCTATAAAGGTCATTGGCATAGGTGAAGTTGTCATAAAAATTTCAGCAGTGAAAGAAACAAATCAATTATCTAGAAATACACTCGCACAATTTCTTGTTGACAAACTAACCTTGCATGGAGGTTGAATTGTAGCTAATATTGTTTTAAGTGCTAACAGGGGATACTGAAAACAGGTTCATGCAGTAAGAACAGCTGTATCTGTGTTGTAGACATGGAGGAGAAGATATTTAGTGTGTGTGGTAGTCAGAACTTTGAGGACGGGATTGCGGTGCTGCAGAGTAAAAAGGCTCAGTGCCAAGAGTAAGTACAACTGTACATACAGTGTGGTAGACTAGGAGTTCGGTCTCTGCCTTAAGCCGTGTTCACAGTTAAATTAAAATGGGTGAGCTAACCAAAACTGTTCCCAATAAAATCTGCAGAGGGTTAGAGGAGTATCAGCTATTTAAAATTGTTCCCTTCAGAATCAAAAGAATACAATCTGTCTCCAGAGAAGGAATCAACAAGAATATAGTTCTAGACCCTGTTGTTATTTTTGTACCTGACACACCTGTGTATCCACAGCTCCAAGGGGTCCCTGTTGGGTGCTGAACATTTCTATAAGAAGTATGTAGAGAAACTGGAACAGGAAGACCCGTGCTGCCCTCTATGTCGCCGTGAGTTTGACACAGAGCAGGAAACCAAGGAACTCATATTGGAGGTAAGACAGACAGTTGCGGCGCTTTGTGACATTATTTTCTGTGCATGAGAAGGCAGATTGGTTGGACCACATCTGATGGGTTAAGATATAAAGACAGACCTTATGGTCTAATTAACTGAAAGAAGTGTTTGACAAAGTCTTTGTCAAGGTATTGCCTTCTCCTATTGTTTTAACAATATATGTATGAACCCCCACCTCTTTAGATTGACCAAACAAGTATAAACGTCCACATCAGTTGACATAATACATATATATGTCATATTCAGCTGAAGGAAAAGCTGCGCCAAGTTCCCACCAAGCTGAGGAAGGCAGAGAAGGACCTATTGGAATACGAGAAGAAATATGACACCATGATGCAACTGAAACCCCTCAGGGAAAACGTAAGTACGCGGTAAGAAAAAATCTTTATGATAATGAACTCAAGGACAATTATATGTAAAGATCAATCATTATAAGTAATAAATACAATTGTCTTGTATGATTTGAATATATATTATTCAGTCTATATGTAAATAATTTTATTATTCAAGAAATGTGTTCAAAATAACCAAGGTATACCTAAAAATAAAATGGATGATAAGTTGAATACTTTTAATTCCTGTAATTCCAATGTGTAGAGCAATGTTGTTTTCTGATGTAGATGAGTATGCTTGAGGAAAGTGAGATCCCAGAAATGAAGAGCAAAGTAAGGAAGACAAATGAGGAGATAGAAAAGCTGAGGACAACCATAGCTGATGTAAGCTATACTGTGATATCCTTGATGATCAAGTTAATTTGAGAAAAAAGATATTAATCTCTCCTTCTCAAATTCCATATTGGTATAGAGTGCCATTTTCTTCTCCTCTCAATAATGTATTCATGTTGTAAAATAACAGTCTATAGTTATAGTGAATTATTAGCTAATTGCATTCATCCTTTACAGTTTCTATGCTTTCAGCTATCTAGGTAATAAGTTGTTGCTGAATATTTTAAAACTTGCTGGTACATGTATTGCTGACATTTTGCCTTGTTAGTATTGCTGACCTTTGACCTTGTTAGTATTGCTGACCTTTGACCTTGTTAGTATTGCTGACCTTTGACCTTGTAAGTATTGCTGACCTTTGATCTTGTTAGTATTGCTGACCTTATTGACCTTGTGTTAGGTGAATGACGACCATGAGACCAAGGAACAAGATGGGGACATGGCCAAACAGATCCAGTCTGACGTTGTCCTCATGGACCGTTACCATGGTGATGTCACAGAGCTGGATAAAAAGATTGCTGCACAGGCCGCAACTCTGTCAGGGGGAGGTAATGCTTGCAGACATTCATTTTTTTATGGTTTATGTTAATCTGTTCGTGAGAAATTGTCACAATTCTGTTATAATATCCCGAGGATAAACATTCTACCGGTACATTCAAATCAGCCAGATATTAAGATCATTGGTTGATATTGGGCTTTACTTAGTTATACACAGTGTTGGTTGGATGTGGATGCATTGTGTCCAGTGATCTTTTAATTTCATGAATATTTCAAACTGAATTATCAAAAATTGTGCATTATACTTTATTGAAGAAATACGTCTAATTAAGGATTAAGCGTCGGTCAGATTGCAGTTAGAGCCAATATGAATGCAATCTGGGTGACAGATAAATAGAGTCATGATTATTTTAACTGTCACCCAGATTGCATTCATATTGGCTGTAACTGCAATCTGACAGCTATTCAATCGTTATATTTACATTTCCTAATACGACCTGTCTTTTTAGGTCACCTGAACTTTAGCTCAAGTGACCTAATACTGTCCGTCGTCGTTTGTCGTGCGTTGTCCGTTAACATTTTACATTTTCAACTTATGCTGAAATATTGTAGATGGGATTTCATTGATACCTAATGGGAATGTTACTGACATCAAGTTCTTATAGGCCAATTTAACTGAAACTCGGTCTAGGGATGGTCCTGAAAAACTTAACTTAACGTTATGCTTAACCATTTTTTACTCAAATTGGTAGGGATGATTGACATTATCTCCACTTCATATTTCAACAACAAAAATAAATACTGTAGGACTTAAGTGACCGTTAAGGCCCATGAGCCTCTTGTATTAATAAGTCAGATGAGCTTAATTTGAATTTCCTGCTGCCGCAAAACCTCACAGATCCAATTCTCGGAACAGCAGCAGACAGCCATTATCAGACCGAAAACTATCCAAACAACGGTCGCCACTAAAAATGTAACCAGGCGACAACTGTTAAATGCAGTCAAATGCTCTAATTATACGTGCAGAACATTCTCATACAAAAATAAGAACTACTTGGTAACCTTCCTATTCTGGATGTCTTCATTGTCTGCAAAACCTGTCAAAATGTGACTTGTATGAACCAAACAACAACAACAAGATGGCAGCTATCGTATCGTTGGGAGTGGTTGCTAACGCTGACGTCACGGAATCCATGGTCATGTGACCAGATAATGCAGACTGCAGTTACTGTCAAGTAACTGCAGACTGACTTTCCATAGAGTTACTGGAAAATGGGAAGGGCATATGTAAATATTGCACTGTATTTTCTATGTGAATGGAACTTTTGAGAAAACCTGTTTATTCTGGTCAATTTTCAGCCTAGAATGGTTGCACTGTTGTAATGAAATTCATTTAGGAAGATCCTGGCATTTTAACATTTTAATGAATATAATAAAACGGGAACAATTTGTCTGTTTTAAATAGAGGTGATCTATATATTTCACAACTTTAATTGCAGATTCTGGAAGAACCCTTCAAAATGTCATCAATGAAAAGGAAGATGTTCAGATGAAAGTGTAAGTGGATTTTTAATTTGAATTGACAAAGTGTTGACTTAGCAAAGAGATCTTAATCTAGGTCAAATATTCACAGAATGTATAAATTACGAATCAAGATGTGAAAAGAAACCCCAAATATTTTGAATTCAAATAATTTCAAAGTTACTGGACAAAAATGATCTACTTTGTTCATGCAAGCTCCAACCACATAAATGTTTTATTCTTGTCATAACAGAGATACAATTACAAGAAAATTGGACCACAAAAGGCAAAAACTGCATGATCACTCTGAGGAGGTACAGCGTTTGAAAAGCAGCATCAACTCCTTGAGGGAAGAAAAGCTTCAGATTGATAATGATCTGCAGCAGAGGTTCAAACTGGAGGCTGACAAAGCCACAATTTTCAGCGAGAATGAGATCTATGAGAAAGAAATAAAGGTTTGTGTCCTGTGGATTTAGTGTTGTGTCATGTGGATTTAGTGTTTAATGTCAATGCTTTTATGATATCTTTATTCTGCTGTATCTGTCATTTGGGAAATGTTTATTATCATCATCAAAAGTAACCAATTAAATATCTCTTTGAGAAAACAATGTTTAGTAGAATTAGGATATTGCAACAAATATATCTTATGTAAACCAGACATTGAAATATCCTTGAATGGTGTCCAATGTATCGTATCTTTATGATGTGTTATTCAGACTATGTTACAATAATACACTGTAACACACCGAAATAAAGTAAAAGTTTACAACTAGTACTGTATTAATTTGTTTTTATCTCACTGATAATAACTGCATTAGACACGAGGTGTATGAAAGGTCTTGTATGTGCATAATGACAATGTAAAACTACTGTGTGCCTGTTGTCAGTATAATGTGACCAGTTGGGGTGTCCTGCTGGTTGTCTTCAGCAGTATGTTTCAGTGAGGTAGCACTATAAAGTCGGCATCAGTTCTGCGCTATCACAAGGAGACAAACACAAACATATCGCAGCCTCCAAAAACACACACGCATACACTACAGGCATGCATCTTGCACACAGGGAAGGCCGTCCTTAAATGACCATAGCTTTTGATAGGACATTAAACAATACTAAACCAAACTAAACCAAACTTTTATATCAGAATGATTACCTTATCCAGGGATGTAACTCTACATAAAAAACTACTCTATGTTGCTTTGTTCCTATATATAAGGGAGAAAATTGGCAAGTTATAAAATTGTCCCTAATGTGGAAGTCTTCCTTTGTGAACATAACCTGTGCAGTGGTAACCTTTATCTTAATGTCATTGTTTGTGTTACAGGAGGCAGCCACACAGATACGCCCACTTCAGGTAAGATTTGATCATTTCATATATGTATCAACTAAGTATTGAATCAGGTGAAATCTATGCCTAAACTTTCATTTCATATTTAATTAATCATTAGCTTACAGTGAGCTAGTTGAATTGATTGTGTGAATTACAAACAGCTCACAAAGACCATGAGAAAAAAAATGCCAATGTTGTTTGCTGTGTATTATAGAGTGTATTTGACAAGACCATGAAAGAGAAACAGAACATGGTACTGTTTGTTAAAAAACTAGTCTAAGAATGACAGGCCTAGGGTCATGGATGAGAAATAGAATATTGTATTGTTGTTTGTTATACATTACAGCATCAGATAGACAGGACAGTGAAACAGAAATAGAATATTGTATTGTTGTTTGTTATACATTACAGCTCCAGATAGACAGGACAGTGAAAGAGAAAGAGAATATTGTATTGTTGTTTGTTATACATTACAGCCCCAGATAGACAGGACAGTGAAGGAGAAATAGAATATTGTATTGTTGTTTTTTACACATTACAGCACCAGATAGTCTGGACAGTGAAAGAGAAATAGAATATTGTAGTGTTGTTTGTTATACATTTCAGAACCAGATAGACAGGACAGTGAAGGAGAAACAGAATATTGCATTGTTGTTTGATATACATTACAGCACCAGATAGACAGGACAGTGAAAGAGAAACAGAATATTGTATTGTTGTTTTTTATATACGTTACAGCACCAGATAGACCGGACAGTGAAAGAGAAACAGAATATTGTATTGTTGTTTGTTATACATTATAGCACCAGATAGACAGGACAGTGAAGGAGAATCAGAATATTGTATTGTTGTTTGATATACATCACAGCACCAGATAGACAGGACAGGGAAGGAGAAACAGAATATTGTATTGTTGTTTGTTATACATTACAGCACCAGATAGACAGGACAGTGAAGGAGAATCAGAATATTGTATTGTTGTTTGATATACATCACAGCACCAGATAGACAGGACAGTGAAGGAGAAACAGAATGTTGTATTGTTGTTTGTTATACATTACAGCACCAGATAGACAGGACAGTGAAAGAGAAATAAAATGTTGTATTGTTGTTTGTTATACATTACAGCACCAGATAGACAGGACAGTGAAGGAGAAATAAAATATTGTAGTGTTGTTTGTTATACATTACAGCACCAGATAGACAGGACAATGAAAGAGAAATAAAATATTGTATTGTTGTTTGTTATACATTACAGCACCAGATATACAGGACAGTGAAAGAGACATAGACTATTATATTGTTGTTTGTTATACATTACAGCACCAGATAGACAGGACAGTGAAAGAGAAATAAAATGTTGTATTGTTGCTTGTTATATACATTACAGCACAAGATAGACAGGACAGTGAAAGAGAAATAGAATATTATATTGTTGTTTGTTATACATTACAGCACCAGATAGACAGGACAGTGAAAGAGACATAGACTATTATATTGTTGTTTGTTATACATTACAGCACCAGATAGACAGGGCAGTGAAAGAGAAATAGAGTAATGTATTGTTGTTTGTTATTTACATTACAGCCCCAGATAGACAGGACAGTGAAAGAGACATAGATTATTATATTGTTGTTTGTTATACATTACAGCCCCAGATAGACAGGACAGTGAAAGAGAAATAAAATATTGTATTGTTGTTTGTTATACATTACAGCACCAGATAGACAGGACAGTGAAAGAGAAATAGAATAATGTATTGTTGTTTGTTATTTACATTACAGCACCAGATAGACAGGACAGTGAAAGAGAAATAAAATATTTTATTGTTGTTTGTTATACATTACAGCACCAGATCGACAGGACAGTGAAAGAGAAATAGAATAATGTATTGTTGTTTTTTATTTACATTACAGCACCAGATAGACAGGACAGTGGAAGAGAAATAGAATATTGTATTGTTGTTTGTTATACATTACAGCACCAGATAGACAGGACAGTGGAAGAGAAACAGAATGTTGTAGAAGCTAAGGAAGATCAGATGGAACAGACAAAAACCTTGGTAAACTTTGTGTTATTATATCACTGTGGTCATACACTGTCAGGACTTGAGGCACGAATCTGACAAAGTAACAGGCAGTGCAGAATTTTTTCAAATATTTTTTTTACATTTTGTTATATCTGCTTTTAAATGGTTACGACTTACATGACCAATTATGGACTTTGGTGGAGGTGAATATGTGGTTATATGAACATGAGATAGAACTATTTACTGAGACGAAGTAGTAGAGGTCAGTTATACTTTTCAGGTCCATGTAACCACATATTCACCACATAGGAACTGAATAATTGTTATATAAGATATAAGAATGTAAAGAAAATGTTTGCATTGTGTGGGAAAATTAAGAAATTGCAATTGTAGTGCAGTCATTGAATAATATAATGACATGCTGTTTCTAGAATATGTAACATTGAGTTAATTACATACTGAAATATGTCACGTGACTATATGACTTGGCCAATCAAAATTCAGTAAATGCAGACTATATTTCAATAAATGATGATATTGAATTCGAATGACCTACTTTAGAGGATATCAAACCGATAGTTATGACAACAGTAAACACTGACGTGATAGAGTGACAGCAAGACCATTGAGGGCTGCATAATTGGCGAGGCTAGACTAAAGGTTTTTCTCTACAGAATTATATTTATTGATACTGTATAATGATGGATATACTTCAATCTTTGTGTAGATTGACAAGGTCAAAAATGATGCTACAAAAGTGAAGAATGTGAACCAGGATATGAAGGCGTAAGTAAAACCTGATGTACTCGTTGTGTTGTATTACATCATTTGCTGGGTATTTCCTTTACTCTAAATTAGTACTTTTTTGTGTGTTTATTTTGTTAGTACAGCATATATATACAATTTAGCTGACTTGAGTTGAAACATACTAGCAAATCACAAAAAGTTGCATGGGTGAAATAGTAAACCTGTAACTCGGATGTTTCCTGTTTTAAAGTGTTACAACCTCCTCAGAATACACAACAGAAGACTTCTTGTAATTATTGATAACATCAACATTATTTGTTCACTCTCCTTGCACAATTAGATGTAGCCACAGAAAAATTGGATATTTGTAGAACTGTTTGACAGTAACAACTTTGGAAAATCTGAGTTGGTCATCACACAATGATCAAAAGATTACCTAACTGGAATAACAATCTGCTGTCAGCTTATAAAGAAGGCCAACTTTTTGGTTCATAATTCAAGTGATCAATGTTTCAGGAAAATATGGTAATCAAATCCTTACATGAGTTTACCCAAAGGTAACTTTGACCACTCTTTAAATACTCGCACACAAAATGGCTGATCTTATTAAACTTCAGATTCTCTAATTGTACAAACTTTCTTTGTCAGATATATTCAATCTGGTAAGGATGAGTTGCTTGAACAAAAGAGGGAAGAACTCAAACAGATTGAGAAACGACTAGAGAAGAAAGAGGGTGATCAGGAGAAAGTGAAATCTGGTATTGAGAAGCTAAACAAGGACCTCGCCACTCAACAGGTACATTTGGTAACCTGTTGACGAGTATTTCTATCAACAAGTTTTGGATTCAAATGATTTTTTGTCAATAAATTTTAGGTTCAATATCTGCCAACGTAGTCTTCATTAAAATTTGATACAAAACCTTCTCTTTTTATCTCTGTGAAAGATTATCTTGACATTTTTCCAATGAATTTAGATAATAATGATGAAATCAAAGGACATTTTAACATAGTTTCAATCCAACCCATGTAGGTACGTGAGCGGGAGTTACTTGACAATTTGGCACTGAGGAAGAAACAGCGGGAGATAGAAAAGGTTGGAAAAGACCTGGAAGAGCTGCATGAAAAATTGGGAGGCGTTGATGCTCACAACATGGAAAGGGACCGCAAACGTCTCATAAACCAACAGGAAGACCTTATCAAGGAGGTGAGCCTCATCGTGACAGAGGGTTTCTTGTCTGCTCATCATTCCCTCATCTAATCCTCCTAAACTTATGAGTCCTAAGGGCTAAAGTAATGAAAATATTAAAAATTAACCTGAAAAATCTTACTATGTACTATTTATCTCATACTAGCAATGTATAGGACAGTTTTTGTACTTCTCCAGCACAGTTACATGATGTCGCATATCTTGGATTAACTTTATTTCAATCATCAAGTTTCATCATAAAGAACAAATGTGTTTGTAACTTAATTCATTCAAACATGTTTATTGAATAACAGTCAAAAGGGTTGGGCCCATTTAGTTCTCAAAATTGACTAGTCCATCTCTTGAGTCTCCTGAATGAGTTTGTGAAGAACAAACAAATTGGAATTGATGCTTCTCATTTATCAGCAGTCAAGTGATTATTGCTGAAGTTAGAGAGCATGAGGTTCTATGTAGACTTAACATTCTGGCAGTGTTTTGAATGCTTAATTGTTAGAGTCATTAACGATGTGTTTTGTTTTTCCACAGAAACACGTGGTTGTGGGACGACAGCAAGGATTTGAGGACCAGATACGTGCCCTTAAGAGAGAGCTACAGGATGATATGTACAAGGACGCCTCACAAAAATATCGTGACAAGATGATTCTGCTCAGGGTACGAATTTCACGAGTTCTATGGTCTAGGTATCCAACCATATGTATAGATCTAATACCAATGGAAACACCAACCTGAAAACATACAATTTTTACACTTTTATGTTGCCTATTTGCAATGTGGATGATTGTAAGTGTATCAAGAATGTTGCTTTCCCTACCCCTCATGTTTATCTCTGATAAACCCTCATTGTATTAGTATCTATTTACCATCTTGATTATGTGTACAGAGATTGTTCTAGCCGATCAATGAAGGAAGAAATCTGGAGCACAGATTTTTTCATAAGTGAAAGACTAAATATGTGTCTGACCTTCTTTTCATTTGATTTTTTTTCAAATCTTCTTGCTAAAGTCTTTATTACTAAAGGTGTGACTAGATGTCCGAGTGACATCACTGAGCTCCTACTTGCTTGTCTACAACTCTATGTTGATTTTACTTCCACAGACAACAGAACTAGCTAATGGTGACCTGGAGAAGTATTACAAGGCACTCGACAAGTATGTCTGCTCATATACTGTTTACTCTTTTGCTCTTCTAAAAAAATGTCCAGTGACTTGACAAATTATTGTCACCAGCTGTGTGTAACACAAAGCCAGTATTATATTTTTTTGTGTAAGAAGAAAGTTCATTTGTCAATGAAAAAAGAAAAAGATTAGCAGACATCTAACCACTGGTATATACAAACAGAGCTTACCAGACACGATATCAAAGTGAACTGACTGGATGACAAACTGGTCTAATGTTAGAGGTCTGTATCCTCAGATTTCCTGACTTACATCACTGGTTTTAGTGCAAATATCCATATAACTGGCTACATTAGTAAAACTTATTTTGTGATGGTAAAATTAGAAATATGCAAAAGCAAATCTGTAAACACGGTGGCGGTGTATTGAAGTATTTGTCCTAATGCTCTGTATGATTTATGCTGAATCTGAAGTAATTATAACACTATTTTGATTGTATATTGTTATTCCTCAGGGCTATTATGAGCTACCACAGTTTGAAGATGGACGAGATAAACAAAATAATTCGTGAGCTATGGAGGAACACGTACCGTGGGAATGGTTAGTTCACAGTCAGTAACGTATACTGTATCCACCCTGTATTATAACACGTACCGTGGGAATGGTTAATTCACAGTCAGTAATGTATACTGTAGCCACCCGGTATTATAACACGTACTGTGGGAATGGTTAGTTCACAGTCAGTAATGTATACTGTATTATAACACGTACCGTGGGAATGGTTAATTCACAGTCAGTAATGTATACTGTAGCCACCCTGTATTATATCACTTAACGTGGGAATGGTTAGTTCACAGTCAGTAATGTACACTGTAGCCACCCTGTATTATAACACGTACCGCGGGAATGGTTAGTTCACAGTCAGTAATGTATACTGTCGCCACCCTGTATTATAACACGTACCGTGGGAATGGTTAATTCACAGTCAGTAATGTATACTGTAGCCACCCTGTGTTATAACACGTACCGTGGGAATGGTTAGTTCACAGTAAGTAATGTATACTGTAGCCCCCCTGTATTATAACACTTACCGTGGGAATGGTTAGTTCACAGTCAGTAATGTGTACTGTAGCCAACCTGTATTATAACACGTACCGTGGGAATGGTTAGTTCACAGACAGTAATGTATACTGTAGCCACCCTGTATTATATCACTTAACGTGGGAATGGTTAGTTCACAGTCAGTAATGTCTACTGTAGCCACCCTGTATTATAACACGTACCGTGGGAATGGTTAGTTCACACACAGTAATATAAACTGTAGCCACCCTGTATTATAACACATACCGTGGGAATGGTTAGATCACAGTCAGTAATGTATACTGTAGCCACTCTGTATTATAACCCGTACCGTGGGAATGGTTAGTTCACAGTCAGTAATGTATACCGTAGCCACCCTGTATTATAACACGTACCGTGGGAATGGTTAGTTCACAGACAGTAATGTATACTGTAGCCACCCTGTATTATAACACTTAACGTGGGAATGGTTAGTTCACACACAGTAATATATACTGTAGCCACCCTGTATTATAACACGTACCATGGAAATGGATAGTTCACAGTCAGTAATGTATACTGTAGCCACCCTGTATTATAACACGTACCGTGGGAATGGTTAGTTCACAGTCAGTAATGTATACTGTAGCCACCCTGTATTATAACACGTACCGTGGGAATGGTTAGTTCACAGTCAGTAATGTATACTGTAGCCACCCTGTATTATAACACGTACCGTGGGAATGGTTAGTTCACAGTCAGTAATGTATACTGTAGCCACCCTGTATTATAACACGTACCGTGGGAATGGTTAGTTCACAGTCAGTAATGTATACTGTAGCCACCCTGTATTATAACACGTACCGTGGGAATGGTTAGTTCACAGTCAGTAATGTATACTGTAGCCACCCTGTATTATAACACGTACCGTGGGAATGGTTAGTTCACAGTCAGTAATGTATACTGTAGCCACCCTGTATTATAACACGTACCGTGGGAATGGTTAGTTCACAGTCAGTAATGTATACTGTAGCCACCCTGTATTATAACACGTACCGTGGGAATGGTTAGTTCACAGTCAGTAATGTATACTGTAGCCACCCTGTATTATAACACGTACCGTGGGAATGGTTAGTTCACAGTCAGTAATGTATACTGTAGCCACCCTGTATTATAACACGTACCGTGGGAATGGTTAGTTCACAGTCAGTAATGTATACTGTAGCCACCCTGTATTATAACACGTACCGTGGGAATGGTTAGTTCACAGTCAGTAATGTATACTGTAGCCACCCTGTATTATAACACGTACCGTGGGAATGGTTAGTTCACAGTCAGTAATGTATACTGTAGCCACCCTGTATTATAACACGTACCGTGGGAATGGTTAGTTCACAGTCAGTAATGTATACTGTAGCCACCCTGTATTATAACACGTACCGTGGGAATGGTTAGTTCACAGTCAGTAATGTATACTGTAGCCACCCTGTATTATAACACGTACCGTGGGAATGGTTAGTTCACAGTCAGTAATGTATACTGTAGCCACCCTGTATTATAACACGTACCGTGGGAATGGTTAGTTCACAGTCAGTAATGTATACTGTAGCCACCCTGTATTATAACACGTACCGTGGGAATGGTTAGTTCACAGTCAGTAATGTATACTGTAGCCACCCTGTATTATAACACGTACCGTGGGAATGGTTAGTTCACAGTCAGTAATGTATACTGTAGCCACCCTGTATTATAACACGTACCGTGGGAATGGTTAGTTCACAGTCAGTAATGTATACTGTAGCCACCCTGTATTATAACACGTACCGTGGGAATGGTTAGTTCACAGTCAGTAATGTATACTGTAGCCACCCTGTATTATAACACGTACCGTGGGAATGGTTAGTTCACAGTCAGTAATGTATACTGTAGCCACCCTGTATTATAACACGTACCGTGGGAATGGTTAGTTCACAGTCAGTAATGTATACTGTAGCCACCCTGTATTATAACACGTACCGTGGGAATGGTTAGTTCACAGTCAGTAATGTATACTGTAGCCACCCTGTATTATAACACGTACCGTGGGAATGGTTAGTTCACAGTCAGTAATGTATACTGTAGCCACCCTGTATTATAACACGTACCGTGGGAATGGTTAGTTCACAGTCAGTAATGTATACTGTAGCCACCCTGTATTATAACACGTACCGTGGGAATGGTTAGTTCACAGTCAGTAATGTATACTGTAGCCACCCTGTATTATAACACGTACCGTGGGAATGGTTAGTTCACAGTCAGTAATGTATACTGTAGCCACCCTGTATTATAACACGTACCGTGGGAATGGTTAGTTCACAGTCAGTAATGTATACTGTAGCCACCCTGTATTATAACACGTACCGTGGGAATGGTTAGTTCACAGTCAGTAATGTATACTGTAGCCACCCTGTATTATAACACGTACCGTGGGAATGGTTAGTTCACAGTCAGTAATGTATACTGTAGCCACCCTGTATTATAACACGTACCGTGGGAATGGTTAGTTCACAGTCAGTAATGTATACTGTAGCCACCCTGTATTATAACACGTACCGTGGGAATGGTTAGTTCACAGTCAGTAATGTATACTGTAGCCACCCTGTATTATAACACGTACCGTGGGAATGGTTAGTTCACAGTCAGTAATGTATACTGTAGCCACCCTGTATTATAACACGTACCGTGGGAATGGTTAGTTCACAGTCAGTAATGTATACTGTAGCCACCCTGTATTATAACACGTACCGTGGGAATGGTTAGTTCACAGTCAGTAATGTATACTGTAGCCACCCTGTATTATAACACGTACCGTGGGAATGGTTAGTTCACAGTCAGTAATGTATACTGTAGCCACCCTGTATTATAACACGTACCGTGGGAATGGTTAGTTCACAGTCAGTAATGTATACTGTAGCCACCCTGTATTATAACACGTACCGTGGGAATGGTTAGTTCACAGTCAGTAATGTATACTGTAGCCACCCTGTATTATAACACGTACCGTGGGAATGGTTAGTTCACAGTCAGTAATGTATACTGTAGCCACCCTGTATTATAACACGTACCGTGGGAATGGTTAGTTCACAGTCAGTAATGTATACTGTAGCCACCCTGTATTATAACACGTACCGTGGGAATGGTTAGTTCACAGTCAGTAATGTATACTGTAGCCACCCTGTATTATAACACGTACCGTGGGAATGGTTAGTTCACAGTCAGTAATGTATACTGTAGCCACCCTGTATTATAACACGTACCGTGGGAATGGTTAGTTCACAGTCAGTAATGTATACTGTAGCCACCCTGTATTATAACACGTACCGTGGGAATGGTTAGTTCACAGTCAGTAATGTATACTGTAGCCACCCTGTATTATAACACGTACCGTGGGAATGGTTAGTTCACAGTCAGTAATGTATACTGTAGCCACCCTGTATTATAACACGTACCGTGGGAATGGTTAGTTCACAGTCAGTAATGTATACTGTAGCCACCCTGTATTATAACACGTACCGTGGGAATGGTTAGTTCACAGTCAGTAATGTATACTGTAGCCACCCTGTATTATAACACGTACCGTGGGAATGGTTAGTTCACAGTCAGTAATGTATACTGTAGCCACCCTGTATTATAACACGTACCGTGGGAATGGTTAGTTCACAGTCAGTAATGTATACTGTAGCCACCCTGTATTATAACACGTACCGTGGGAATGGTTAGTTCACAGTCAGTAATGTATACTGTAGCCATCCTGTATTATAACACGTACCTTGGGAAAGGTTAGTTCACAGTCAGTAATGTATACTGTAGCCACCCTGTATTATAACATGTACCGTGGGAATGGTTAGTTCACACACTCTAATATATACTGTAGCCACCCTGTATTATAACAATGGTTAGTTCACAGTCAGTAATGTATACTGTAGCCACCCTGTATTATAACATGTACCGTGGGAATGGTTAGTTCACACACTCTAATATATACTGTAGCCACCCTGTATTATAACACATACCGTTGGAATGGTTAGTTCACAGTCAGTAATGTATAATGTAGCCACTCTGTATTATAACACGTACCGTGGGAATGGTTAGTTCACAGTCAGTAATGTATACTGTAGCCACCCTGTATTATACAGCACAATATACATTATTTGTTTATAGGGATACCTTTAGGTCCAAATGGGTTTCTAAGTTTCAATCTTAAAACTAAAAACATTTTATTGTTTCATTATGAAATCTAACACTGCTGCCTATTTAAAGATATCGACACGATTGAGATCAGGTCGGATGAAGATGATGCAGGGATCATGAAGACGAGGCGAACGTACAACTACAGAGTTGTCATGGTCAAGGGTGAGGCTGTACTGGACATGAGAGGGCGCTGTAGTGCCGGTCAAAAGGTGAGACCAGGGTCACTGTTTTATGGTAGTATGATCTGGTCCTGTGTTGAAGATAAGTCATTTTCAAATATATATTGTCTTAAGGTCAAATGTCATTCGATGAGAGCTAGCCAGGTTCAAAGGTCACGATAGATTTAAGGTCATAGGGGTCAAATATGTTAAGATTTTTATGTTGAAGGCCAACTATGATCTGAAAACGGCTATTTTGTTTTCACAAACAAGCTTCACCTATACACAGCTTGCAGCTAGTACAAATTATTCTGTGGTTAAGCTCATCGTTTCTGCAAACAGTATGCTTAGCTCTACATACCATGGTATAAACAGTCTAGGTGTGCGCTCAAGAGCCACAGGGGCTTTTGTTAGTTATTTTCTACCAGATATATCACTACAGAACTTGTATTTGTTACTCAGGTGCTTGCATCACTGATCATCCGTCTCGCCCTGGCAGAAACATTCTGCCTGAACTGTGGTGTGCTGGCCCTGGATGAGCCGACCACTAACCTGGACAGAGAAAACATTGAGAGTTTGGCCTACGCACTTGTTGAGTAAGGATGTTGAGGAGATTATAAGCATTCATAGGCTTTGCCTGTTGCCCAGTTCCTTTTGCATCTATGACCTGAACAATAAATTATTATGATTTCTAAGGCTATAGTGCGATATGATTAGATCTTTAGAAAGTTTTTAAAAACCTGATAACTTTATTGTATTATTTTATTTTGACTTCTTGGTAATTCATTATGGCCTTACTGCAGTGGTTATCAAGGTCAGACAAAATACACTTTTAAATAATTTCTGGTATGAGTGCCACAAGATAATTCATCTTTGATTAAGTAACCTTTTCTACGATACAAATTACAGGATCATAAAGAGCAGGAAGGAGCAGAGAAACTTTCAGCTGGTTGTTATCACTCATGACGAAGACTTTGTGGAGCTACTAGGGCGGTCTGACTATGTGGACTGGTTCTTCAAAGTCCGCAAGGATCAAAAGTACGTAGCTTACTGGTTGTATCAGATGATATTTGGATCAGGTGTAAAACGACTAAGTTATATATGATAATTAATAACTGACCCCAAGCATTATAAAAGTTGACTTGTATCATTTGATTACAAGTAAAATGGTTTATTGAACAAGGCTATTGGAGGTCATCACAGTAAACTATCTCATATTTCCTGTTTTGAAATTTACTTTGAAAGCGAAACCCTATTGCCTCAATTTAAATTTTAATAATTTGTTTTTGCCAGTGGATGTTCACAGCTGGTCAAGGCTAAAGTACAAGAATTACATGCCCGCTGATGACACATTAACCAATGGTTCTGATGATACATCAACCAATGGTTACATCCATACTCACTGATGACACATCAACCAATGGTTACATCCATACTCGCTGATGACACATCAACCAATGGTTACATCCATACTCGCTGATGACATTCACCTGTGTTCACCAAACATTAAGAATTATTTTGTCTGACAAGTGTTCATTAAGGTCTATTGATTGAGAGAACTGAAATGCTGCAAGATCGAATGTGATTGAAAAATCCACCTACCATGTCAGACAGAATGATTCACATCTATGTACGATCGTCAACTGACAGGAGACACAAGTATCTGTAGATGTACTAAATCAGAAGAATACCATCTTTTGTAGGACTGTGCTTGGCAAAGAAGAGTGAAATAAAACAAAAACTCATATACTGTTGGCAAACATGATTGTGAAAGTCCTTAGAAATTAATGTACCATTACTAAATGATACCCTACTTGACTGTTATTTTACAGTATAGGGGATTCTGTAGTATTGCTTTGTGATACATTTTCAATTGTAGCACTATGTCAGGACAATCAACTCCTTATTTTAAAACAAAACCTGGTGCATAAAAAGTAACTATTTTCCTAATAAACTACGATGAAAAGAGTTTACTAAATATCTCCCGCTCAACAAGTTGGTGGGGGATATAGAAATGGGGTCCATGCGTGCGTGTGCCTGTCCGTCCATGCACCTGGTTAAGAAGAATTGCTCTCATCTACATCTTACCTACTACAAATGCTATGTTGATTAAAGTTTCATCAATTGTGTATCTAGGGTTGCTGTATGCATATTGCAAATGCTGATTATGACCTATATTTTATGCTTCATGTTTTTAATGACTTTTGCACTGCGAGTGGGGGATATTGATGACTGTGTCTTGTTATATTGAGTCTAAAGCTGGTTTAAGTGAAGTGGTATTAAGTCTTTTGAAATAAACAACTTTGAATGCTTTCTAGGTCACAGGGATCAAATTTGTTCATCTTATTAACCAACAGGCCTGTTACTTCAAGGGGGGGAAGACTTTTAATATTCAAATAAATGATATGATAACCATGTCTCTTGATTGGTGGTAATATGGTGAAAAAACAGGCCCATTTCGTAAAGATTTAAACTCCAGTTAATTTTCGAAAGATAAAAGAAACCATGAACTTTCTAAATAAACTAACGGAAGAAAGACATGATAATCAATGGACATGATTTTCGATCTTTTTTCAACAACAACTTTAATGATAATGAAGTTATTGGAATGAACAACATTGTTGTTCTACACACAATTATTTAGGCCGTGAAGGGTTTTGTTTGTGGTGATCTGCTTCCTTATAATTATATGCATAAAACTGAGCTATATGTTTACAGCTCAGTTTCAAATGTTTTGATTATTATTTTACCAATTTTGATTGTTCATAGTTCAACCAATTGATTAATAGGTATATTTAACCATCACCTCTGCCTCTAAAAGAATGGCCAGGGAGTTGATGAATGGAAAGTTGTGCAGATTGATTCAAATATTGGGATAAGCAAAATTCAAGGGGGGGGGGGGGGGGGGGGGGGGGGGGTAAGTAGGGTGCTTTTGTATTGTTTATGATTAGACATAATCTTTTCAGAATTATGATTTATGTGATGAATTCTTTATCTGATTGATGCAATGTTTTGTTAATTGTTACGCAAAAATAAACAAATTGTTAACAAATTATTGTTGTTGTATTGGTGTTTCTCTCGCCCAATGCAAGAGGCGTCATTAAAAAGTATGTGTTTCTGTGTTAATTGAGGGATTCCAGCAAAAGATATTCCAATAAAATACATTCTGAACACGTAAGAACAAATATTTGCAAAAAACGGATTACCAACTACTTTATATGAAATGTAATGAGGACGTTTCATATTAAATTACTGAAACAGCCAGAACATACAAAAGGATAGAAATACTTGTACAGCAACTGTGATGACCTTCAGATAGGACTAGTTCCACTCCACAATACAGAAAAGCAGACAAGACGCCACCAGGAGAAGAACAGTACTAAGATTGAACCACTTCACTATTTCATGTGATCTACGCCTTTGCAAGGATAAGAACGCTAAACAAACTCGTTATTGAAATAAGGAGAAAGATCATAGAAGTGTATGTCGCCTGGTAATAGATTGAAAACCACCTGAGCCAACATGTTTTTCAAATCCTGTTTAGCAAAATAAGTCAATGTAAACACGAAGATTCTGTATAGATTGGTTCTAGATGGTCCTCTGCAGACAAATATCACAGAAGTATTTGACATATTTTATATATGTTTCTAATAAAAAAAACGGAAAACGAAATTTGTGTAAATTTGCGTTGTCAAGTCGTTAGACTACAATTGTTATCTGGAATGAGGATTGGAACCTGATCACGCTTACTGAGAAAGGGAAAATATCCTGTAATGATAGTACATTCTTGAATACTACTGAATTCGAAGGAACTTGGTAGGATGTGGTGGCTTTTTCAAGAAGGTACATTTATGAAAGGGTCTGCTGCAGGACACTGGATACACCGGAATAGGAAACTAATGAAGGCAGTCATGGGGTAGGATTAATCTTAAAATAATGACAGGCAACAGAAGGGATATGTATAACGAAGGAGAAGGATTCTACTGTGAAGAAAATGTTCAGGTCTATTTTGCCTTTACTGGAAGGAAGGACATTTGTCATACAATCCTGACGGATGACTGTTCTTGCCATCATTGTCAGTACAGAAGGTAGGAATTCTAGGGTACCAAGGTGTGTCCAGCAACCAAGTGTAATCACCCAACTGATCGAAAAGCCAATATCAACCTTGCAATCACTGTACCTCATCACATTCCACGGGCTAATACCATACTGATTGATCTATGATTAAGTACCTTACTACCGTACCTCAATTCCATTCACAACTAAATTTAAAAGAAGTAAATGTATTGAAGCGTACTTTCATGCAAATAATGTCAATGACAGCCTGGATTCGTCCTTTCACACAGGACTATGCAATCATTGACCATACTATTCAAAAGGGTGGATTAATCTTATTGAAGGTGACGTCCGCTGTAACACTCAATCTCCTCCTGAAAGATTTTAAGTTTCCTCGAGCTGTTTCTTTCGCACACTAGATAGCTTTTCCCCGCATGAAGAAATCGGCTAACTACTTTCCCCCCTCTGTATTAGTTTACAGGGGAAAATCTATTTGCTAGCTGATTCTATCCCCTCTTTGTGTTAGTGTCTTGTGGGAAACTATTGACTGGCTGATTCTTTCCCCTTTCTGTATAAGTAACTACGGTGAAACTATTGGCTAGGTGATTCTTTCCCTTTTCTGTACTAGTAACTAGGGTGAAACTATTGGCTATCTGATTCTTTCCCCTTTCTGTATAAGTAACTACGGTGAAACTATTGGCTAGCTGATTCTTTCCCCTTTCTGTATAAGAAACTACGGTGAAACTATTGGCTAGCTGATTCTTTTCCCTTTCTGTATAAGTAACTACGGTGAAACTATTGGCTAGCTGATTCTTTCCCCTCAATGTTAGAGTGTCTAGGAGCTAACTATTGGCTAGCTGATTCTTTCCCCTCAATGTTAAAGTGTCTAGGAGCTAACTATTGGCTAGCTGATTCTTTCCCCTCTATGTTTAAGTGTCTAGGGGGAAACTATTGGCTGTATGATTCTTTCCCCTTTCTGTATAAGTAACTAGGGTGAAACTATTGGCTAGCTGGTTCTTTCTCGTGTCTGTATTAGTAACTAGCGGGAAACTATTGGCTAGCTGATTCTTTCCCTTCTATGTGTAAGTGTCTAGGGGGAAACTATTGGCTAGCTGATTCTTTCCCTTCTATGTTTAAGTGTCAAGGGGGAAACTATTGGCTAGCTGATTCTTTCCCTTCTATGTGTAAGTGTCTAGGGGGAAACTATTGGCTAGCTGATTCTTTCCCCTAAATGTTAAAGTGTCTAGGAGAAAACTGTTGGCTAGCTGATTCTTTCCCCTCTATGTGTTAGTATCTAGGGGGAAACTATTGGCTAGCTGATTCTTTCCCCTAAATGTTGAAGTGTCTAGGAGCTAACTATTGCCTAGCTGATTTCCCCTCTAGGTGTTAGTACCTAGGGGCAAACTATTGGCTAGCTGTTTCTTTCCCGTCAATGTTAAAATGCCTAGGAGGAAACTGTTGACTAGCTGATTCTTTCCCCTCTAGGTGTTGGTATCTAGGGGCAAACTTTTGGCTAGCTGATTCTTTCCACTAAATGTTAAAGTGTCTAGGAGCTAACTATTGGCTAGCTTATTTCCCCCTCTAGGTGTTAGTACCTAGGGGCAAACTATTGGCTAGCTGTTTCTTTCCCCTCAATGTTAAAGTGTCTAGGAGAAAACTGTTGGCTAGCTGATTCTTTCCCCTAAATGTTGCAGTGTCTAGGAGCTAACTATTGCCTAGCTGATTTACCCTCTAGGTATTAGTACCTAGGGGCAAACTATTGGCTAGCTGATTCTTCCCCTCAATGTTGAAGTGCCTAGGAGCTAACTATTGCCTAGCTGATTTACCCTCTAGGTATTAGTACCTAGGGGCAAACTATGGGCTAGCTGTTTCTTTCCCGTCAATGTTAAAATGCCTAGGAGGAAACTGTTGACTAGCTGATTGTTTCCCCTCTATGTGTTAGTATCTAGGGGGAAACTATTGGCTACCTGATTCTTCCCCTCAATGTTAAAGTGCCTAGGGGGAAACTGTTGACTAGCTGATTCTTTCCCCTTTCTGTATAAGTAACTAGGGTGAAACTATTGGCTAGCTGATTCTTTCCCCTCTATGTGTTAGTGTCTAGGGGGAAACTATTGGCTAGCTGATTCTTCCCCTCAATGTTGAAGTGTCTAGGAGCTAACTATTGCCTAGCTGATTTCCCCTCTAGGTATTAGTACCTAGGGGCAAACTATTGGCTAGCTGTTTCTTTCCCCTCAATGTTAAAGTGTCTATGAGAAAACTGTTGACTAGCTGATTCTTTCCCCTCTAGGTGTTGGTATCTAGGGGCAAACTTTTGGCTAGCTGATTCTTTCCCCTAAATGTTAAAATGTATAGGAGAAAACTGTTGGCTAGCTGATTCTTTCCCCTGTATGTGTTAGTGTCTAGCTGGATACTATTGGCGAGCTGATTCCTTCCCCTCTATGGGTTAGTATCTAGGAGAAAACTGTTGACTAGCTGATTCTTTCCCCACAAGGTGTTAGTATCTAGGGGCAAACTATTGGCTAGCTGATTCTTTCCCCTAAATGTTAAAGTGTCTAGGAGAAAACTGTTGGCTAGCTGATTCTTTCCCCTCTATGTATTAGGTACTACCGGGAAACTATTGGCTAGCTGATTCTTTCCCCTCAATGTTAAAGTGTCTAGGAGCTAACTATTGGCTAGCTGATTCTTTCCCCTCTATGTGTTAGTGTCTAGGAGAAAACTGTTGGCTAGCTGATCCTTTCCCCTCTATGTGTTAGTGTCTTGGGGGAAACTATTGGCTAGCTGATTGCATCCCCTCTATGTGTTATTGTCTAGTGGGAAACTATTGGCTGGCTGATTCTTTCCCCTGTATGTGTTAGTGTCTAGGTGGATACTATTGGCGAGCTGATTCCTTCCCCTCTATGGGTTAGTATCTAGGAGAAAACTGTTGACTAGCTGATTCTTTCCCCACAAGGTGTTAGTATCTAGGGGCAAACTATTGGCTAGCTGATTCTTTCCCGTAAATGTTAAAATGTATAGGAGAAAACTGTTGGCTAGCTGATTCTTTCCCCACAAGGTGTTAGCATCTAGGGGCAAACTGTTGGCTAGCAGATTCTTTCCCCTGTATGTGTTAGTGTCTAGGTGGAAACTATTGGCTAGCTTATTCTTTCCCCTCTATGTGTAAGTGTCTAGGGGAAACTATTGGCTAGCTGATTCTTTCCCCTGTATATGTTAGTGTCGAGGGGAAACTATTGGCTAGCTGATGCTTTCCCCTTTATGTGTTAGTGTCTACGGGGAAACTACTGACTAACTGAGTTCCC